GCCAACCTGCAGCTTACTGGTTTCGTCGACGCAGATCACGCGGGGGACGCAGAAAACAGAAGGTCCCGCACAGGCTTCATTTTCAAGCTTGAGCCTGCAGGAACCATCTCCTGGAACTCGCAGAAACAGGAGCTCATCGCCCTCTCGTCAGCAGAAGCAGAGTTCATCGCAGCAAGCGCAGCAGTTCGCGAAGGACTCTACCTCACGGAACTCCTACAGGAAACGAAAACGGCGATGAACGGGTCCTTCAAGTTACTCTGCGACAACCAGAGTGCGATCAAAATCGCACACAAGCCCGGCTTCGTCAACCGCACCAAGCACATCGCCCTGCGATATTTCTTCGTCAAGGACGAAATCGACAAGGGCAAGGTCCAGCTCACCTACTGCCCAACCGACAAGATGGCAGCAGATTTTCTGACTAAGAAGCTGCCACGTCAGAAGTTTCAGTACTGCTCAGACCTGTGCGGAGTCGCTCGCAAAAGGCCACATGGCACACCTCCAGGGATGGAACGGGAGTGTTGGAGTGTGAAAGGAATACACATAAGCATTCCCGAAGGTGCAGCTACATCGCACCAGTCACTATCGAAGCAGCGCGAGCAGTAAAAGTCGGATCAGCCTATACCAAAGGCAGGAAGGTCAACAGGCGCAAAAGTCAACTGTCGCGACTGTTGACCATCTGGACCGACGATTGACTCACCATCGAGGAATGTCAACAGGCGTAACCGCACGCACGGTTACAAGCAGCGACTCGGTAACAAGAAAGGAAATGCAACAGTCAGAATCACTGTTGTACTGCCTGTAAAACAGTTATAATAAGGGAATGTACCCCTTAGAGTACATGGCTAGTTAGGACTATTTATTTGCTTGTATTCTATCCTTTAAACCAACTTTGTCATCTACATTCACTATGATCAAGGTTCCTACCAAGACTTCCGCTACCAACTCTCCTAGAGGTACTCCCTATCCCATCCAAGATCCTCACTCTAACACTCTATACTAACCATCGCCGCTTCATCTAAGATGCAGGTAAAGCAAGGCGCGGCGCGGCCATCACCTTTCCCCCTTTTTTTTTCCTCTCTTCTTCCACTGTCCCTTTCAGGACTGTGGAGCTTGGAGCTCAAGTGATTGTGTAAGTTTCCATTACCTGATCCGCTTTTGTTTTTCGTTTTGTTTGTAAGTTGTTTCGTTCGCTATTGTTCTCGCTTTTATTCTCTATACTAACCATCGCCGCTTCCTCCAAGATGCAGGTTCAGCAAGGCGCGGACGCGGCCATCACCTTTCCCCTTTCTTCCTCTGTCCCTTTCAGGACTAGAGTTTGGAGCTCAAGAGACTCTGTAAGTTCCTTTTTTCTGCTCCGCTTTTACTTTTTTTGTAAGTTGTTTCGTTTAAATTGTCGTTTTTCGCATTAATCCCTATACTAACATCGCCCCTTCCTCGAAGGTCTTTTCTTCCTCCGTCCCGTGTCAGTTCGATAGACAACTAGCACGGGGATCTGCTGCGAGATAGGCTCCGACGTTAGAGTAGACAGACTCGTTACATACAGACTCGCGTAGAACCGACAGACGACGGAACAGAATCGATAGGATCGAAAAGCACGGTACGGTATGCCGCGGTTAGGTGGGTTCGATAGGATGCGTTAGGTGTTCGATGGGTTGGGTTGGGTGGGCTCAATGGGGTGGGTTAGTGAGTTGCGAGATGAGCTTGATAAGGTGCCAGGTAATCTGCAGGTCATCTGACATCAGCGCGACTCGAGGATTCGCGCCTGACATCTGACAGCCGGAGAGTACATTTCATAATTTCCCCCTCAAAATATTTTCATTCTTCCTTAGCCCACCCCACCTCCTCCCCCTCCCTCCAACAGGTGTCCCGAGCGATAAACCCCCACCTCAACGTGGTGCCCGGGTGAAACGTTAGAGGCTTTGCCTCTAGCGGCCAAGAGGGGTCAAGACCCAAGACCAAGGCCCTGTTCGATAGCAATTCGGCAAAAAGCCCCCAACCATTGTCCAAGCACAACGGTGGGAGCATAAAGACAAACGGTGCTCGTTCGGCACCGCCGGCAGCGTAATGATTGAAGCCGACTGCCTGCCGGCTTCTTTCTGCAGGTCTAACGGCCGAGGTGTTCGGAAACACCACATCAACGGCCAATTGGTGTGGAAACATTCTGTGTTTTTTTTCTGACCCGGGCCCTGGCGGAACCATGGTCAGCGTCAGAAAAAGTATCGCAATCAAAATATTCGATCTGAAAAATATATAGTGTTTTACAGAGCGGTTCCAAATCGAGTGAGCTGTGTCCCAAGGAGTGGGCATGCCACTGGTTTAGACTGTTATTTTACCTAAGATATCCCTCAATACCCCAACCGACAGAAACCGTTGCTCCTTCACCGAAAAGTAGAAATGGCATTGGTGTGGTAACAGAGCGGCGTTTTGCCCGAGAGGAGCTGTGACGAGGATGTAATCATTGGGCGAGAGTCACTGTTGGGGCACGCGTCTGGAACCATTGTTGAACTTCCCGCCTTGTTTTCCCGCGAAGGCGGGAAATCCGAGACATCGCAGTGGGATCGTTCGCGCTAGCGGGAACTCGGACTCGTCGCAAGGAGTGCCACGTAGATTCCCGCCCAATTCTCCCCACCGTTTCCAAGTTTTCTTCTTCTCGTTCACCCTGCTATCGAACAGGGCCCAAGTGGAGCAGGGAGCAAGAGCAGGAGCAAGGGGGTCGGCCTTCGTACCAGAAGTTGTATGGTACCGTCATACCCCGGATATACCCCCATGGGGGGCACTAATAAAACGTGTTTTTTTTAGGGGGTGGGCTTATAATATAGTAAATTTATAAGCGCCGGCGTTTATGTTATGACAAAAATGAAATTTGTTTTTAAATATACCAAATCGAAGCATTCACAAAGGCGAATTCACCTGAGTCGAGAACGTTCGGAACTGTGCATGCTATGCGCGTGAAACGGCCAACAAGGCGTGGCAACACGCCTTCCACGCCTTGTTGGCCAGGCCAGGTTCATCGAACGTGAACCTAGCGCATGCCTGCGCACACGTACCTCGCATCACAGCGGCCCAATCAGGGTTGCATGCGATCGTGGGCACGTCGTGGTTCAGCCACGGCGTGCCCATCAACAGCAAGATACCCTGCCACCGAGGCAAAGAGCTGCCCAGCTCAGCTCCTCTGCGGGGAATCTTGGCTGTGGCCACACTTTCCCCGCAGAGGAAGCCGGGCCGCGAAACTGAAGGGGTCTCGGGCGAGGGCTTCATACGGCCCTCATTGTCAACGTTTGGTTCAGTTTCTTTCGTTCGTTTGGCCTGCCTTGGCCATGGCGGGCCTTTCAGGCACGCATTTCTTGTTCCGCCGCCAGCCTGCTGCTAGAGAAAGAACCCGCCAAGACACCAGTGACTGGTCTCAATGGCAGAGGCGCCCTGCGCCCGTCCCTCAGTCACAACCAGTAGCGCCTCCCATTCCTCCAACACCTCCTACGCCTCCTACCCCTCCCGCTCCCCCGGCGCCTCCGATTCCTCGACGTCGCGGTTAACCGCTCCTTCAAGGCCGCCGTCCGCCAGCTCTACCAGGAGTGGTTTGAGCGTGAGGGGGTCGACAGCCTGACGAAGAAAGGTGAGATGTGCAGCCTGTAAGTTTGTGTTTCCTTTATTTAACTCCCTCTAACTTTGTTTCTGGATTTGCGTGGCAGGCAACATCAAGAAGCCTCCTGTCGAGCTGACGCTCAAGTGGATCTCGGCGGCCTGGAAGTCCGTGCCCAAGGAGCTCATCCAACGGGCGTTCCTCACCTGCGGCATCAGCAACGCCCTGGATGGGTCCCAGGACAAGCTCTGCCTGCAACACAGGCGAGATGAGCTCGAGGGCGAGGAGGTCGACATGGATGATGAAATTGCAGCAGACGGCTTCTTCTGCAACAACGTGGAAGAGCCTGAGTCGGACTCTGACGCCGACCCAGATGACCCCACTACGGCAGATGATCTGCGAGGGTAGATAGAAAATGGTCAAGCCTATGTGAGGCTTGTAGGTAGAAGTACATGAGATGTAAATTGACTATTAGATGTTAAAATAGTGTAAAAAAATGTTTAGATGTAGGTAGATTTGTTTAAATAGTGTTAAAAAGATGTTTAGATGTAGATTTAATATTGTTAGATATCTTCAAAATATAAAAACACTAAAAACATAGGGGGCGGTTATAATGTGTACGGCACAGGTATGCGGTTATAACCTGTAAGCCTTTTAGGTATGCGCTTATAATCGAGCACCGGATATAAGCGCCGGGCGCCGATTAAAAGCGCCAGGCGCTTATCCAAGGGTGGCGCTTATATCCGGGGTATGACGGTAGCTGGTTAGAGTAGTTTCTAGTTGAGATTCGCATCTTTCTTTCTCGAGTAGTTTCTAGTTGAGATTCGCTTCGTTGTATCTCTTAAAGCCCAAGACCTGAATTACTCAACGGGGGTCAACTGAGTTTTTGTAGGTTCGGCGGGCTGCCAGTTGGAGGTTCGGATGGGTTGAGTGACACGCGAAAAAACAAAACCACCTTGCGACTGAAAACAGTTCGCCACAAACTGTGCACTTGCGGATTGGTTGGAACAAACATGGCACACGGCCCATCTTCCCAAGTTCGACTCACCTGAGAAGCACGCGAAGGGAAAGTGTGCACAGTTTGAACAGGCAAACTCAGGCACTCCAACAAACATAACTACTCCTAAGTCCCCTTCAACCAGGCGCCACCTTAGCTTCTAGAAAAACGAGGAGGAGCCATTAGGAGCGAATGTCCTAATCGATGGACCCGGAAAGGCGCGATTTTTAGGGTGTTGAGGACACACACATAGGGAACAGGGCGGACGTATAAGACGGGGCGCCCCACATAGCCTTGTTACGCCACCACTCGGTGCAGCTTAGATTCCCACGCGCTCGAGGCGCCCCCAGCATCAAGCCTTCCTCCCTGCCTCTCACGTGGGCCCTCCCCGCCGTTTGCGAGCGCCGGCCATTCACATAGCGCATGGTGAGAAGCCTCCCGTCGGGCTCATCTCAGCCCCCCGTCGCCCACATTTTCAGCTTCCCGTCGCCCACATTTCAGCTTCCCGTCGCCCACATTTCAGCTTCCCGTCGCACGCATTTCAGCGGCCCGCGGCACGCATTTCAGCTTCCCGTCGCACGCATTTCAGCTTCCCGTCGCACGCATTTCAGCTTCCCGTCGCACGCATTTCAGCTTCCCGTCGCCCACATTTCAACTTCCCGACGCCCACATTTCAGCTTCCCGTCGCACGCATTTCAGCTTCCCGTCGCACGCATTTCAGCTTCCCGTCGCACGCATTTCGCGGCCCGTCGCCCTCGTATCCAATATTTCGAGACGCCCACACTTCCCGAGTCTGGTCGCCCTCCATTCCCTTCCCGAGAACCCTCATTACCGGACCCGTCGGCCACAAATCCCTTCCCGTCGCCCCATTTCCCTTCCCGTCGCACTCACTTCCGTTCCCGTCGCCCTCGTTTCCCTTCCCGTCGCCCACATCACCCTTCCCGTCGCACTAATTTCCCGTCCCCTCTCACACATTTCCACCCCGTCGCCCTCGTTTCCCTGCCCTTCGCACTAAATTCCATTCCCGCCGCACTCATGGCGTCCCCCTCGCCCACATTTCCCTTCCCTGCGCCCTCATTTCCCCTCTCGTCGCCCACATTTCCCTTCCCGTAGCCCTCATTTCCCCTCTCGTCGCCCTCGTTTCCCTGCCCATCGCCCACATTTCGCTACCTGTTGCTCACAATTCCCTACATCCCCCCTTCCTCCCATCCGCCCTTCCCCTCGTCCGCCCTTCTCTCACATCCTCTCTCCCTCTCATCCGCCCCTCCTGTCGTCCTCATTTCCACTCGTCATCCCTACCCTTCTTTCGCCACGCGCCCTCATCCGCCCTCCCCCTCATCCGCCCTCCCCCTCGTCCGCCCTCCCTCTACGGGGGCCTTCTTCTCGTCCTCCCTCCCCCTCATCCGCCCTCCCCCTCATCCGCCCTTCATCTCATCCAACCTTCAATGCATCCCCCCTTCCTCTCATCCTCCTTTCCTCTCATCCAACCTTTCTATCATCCCCCCTTCCTCTCACCCTCCTCTCCTCTCATCCGCCCTTCCTCTCATCCTCTCACCTTCTTATCGTCTCTCCCTCACATCCTCCTTTCTCTCATCCACCCTTCTTCTCGTCCTCCCTCCCCATCATCCGCCCTTCCCCCCATCCGCCCTTCATCTCATCCGCCCTTCCCCCCATCCGCCCTTCATCTCATCCGCCCTTCCCCCCATCCGCCCTTCATCTCATCCGCCCTTCCCCCCATCCGCCCTTCATCTCATCCGCCCTTCCCCCCATCCGCCCTTCATCTCATCCGCCCTTCCCCCCATCCGCCCTTCATCTCATCCGCCCTTCCCCCCATCCGCCCTTCATCTCATCCGCCCTTCCCCCCATCCGCCCTTCATCTCATCCGCCCTTCCCCCCATCCGCCCTTCATCTCATCCGCCCTTCCCCCCATCCGCCCTTCATCTCATCCGCCCTTCCCCCCATCCGCCCTTCATCTCATCCGCCCTTCCCCCCATCCGCCCTTCATCTCATCCGCCCTTCCCCCCATCCGCCCTTCATCTCATCCGCCCTTCCCCCCATCCGCCCTTCATCTCATCCGCCCTTCCCCCCATCCGCCCTTCATCTCATCCGCCCTTCCCCCCATCCGCCCTTCATCTCATCCGCCCTTCCCCCCATCCGCCCTTCATCTCATCCGCCCTTCCCCCCATCCGCCCTTCATCTCATCCGCCCTTCCCCCCATCCGCCCTTCATCTCATCCGCCCTTCCCCCCATCCGCCCTTCATCTCATCCGCCCTTCCCCCCATCCGCCCTTCATCTCATCCGCCCTTCCCCCCATCCGCCCTTCATCTCATCCGCCCTTCCCCCCATCCGCCCTTCATCTCATCCGCCCTTCCCCCCATCCGCCCTTCATCTCATCCGCCCTTCCCCCCATCCGCCCTTCATCTCATCCGCCCTTCCCCCCATCCGCCCTTCATCTCATCCGCCCTTCCCCCCATCCGCCCTTCATCTCATCCGCCCTTCCCCCCATCCGCCCTTCATCTCATCCGCCCTTCCCCCCATCCGCCCTTCATCTCATCCGCCCTTCCCCCCATCCGCCCTTCATCTCATCCGCCCTTCCCCCCATCCGCCCTTCATCTCATCCGCCCTTCCCCCCATCCGCCCTTCATCTCATCCGCCCTTCCCCCCATCCGCCCTTCATCTCATCCGCCCTTCCCCCCATCCGCCCTTCATCTCATCCGCCCTTCCCCCCATCCGCCCTTCATCTCATCCGCCCTTCCCCCCATCCGCCCTTCATCTCATCCGCCCTTCCCCCCATCCGCCCTTCATCTCATCCGCCCTTCCCCCCATCCGCCCTTCATCTCATCCGCCCTTCCCCCCATCCGCCCTTCATCTCATCCGCCCTTCCCCCCATCCGCCCTTCATCTCATCCGCCCTTCCCCCCATCCGCCCTTCATCTCATCCGCCCTTCCCCCCATCCGCCCTTCATCTCATCCGCCCTTCCCCCCATCCGCCCTTCATCTCATCCGCCCTTCCCCCCATCCGCCCTTCATCTCATCCGCCCTTCCCCCCATCCGCCCTTCATCTCATCCGCCCTTCCCCCCATCCGCCCTTCATCTCATCCGCCCTTCCCCCCATCCGCCCTTCATCTCATCCGCCCTTCCCCCCATCCGCCCTTCATCTCATCCGCCCTTCCCCCCATCCGCCCTTCATCTCATCCGCCCTTCCCCCCATCCGCCCTTCATCTCATCCGCCCTTCCCCCCATCCGCCCTTCATCTCATCCGCCCTTCCCCCCATCCGCCCTTCATCTCATCCGCCCTTCCCCCCATCCGCCCTTCATCTCATCCGCCCTTCCCCCCATCCGCCCTTCATCTCATCCGCCCTTCCCCCCATCCGCCCTTCATCTCATCCGCCCTTCCCCCCATCCGCCCTTCATCTCATCCGCCCTTCCCCCCATCCGCCCTTCATCTCATCCGCCCTTCCCCCCATCCGCCCTTCATCTCATCCGCCCTTCCCCCCATCCGCCCTTTATCTCATCCGCCCTTCCCCCCATCCGCCCTTCATCTCATCCGCCCTTCCCCCCATCCGCCCTTCATCTCATCCGCCCTTCCCCCCATCCGCCCTTCATCTCATCCGCCCTTCCCCCCATCCGCCCTTCATCTCATCCGCCCTTCCCCCCATCCGCCCTTCATCTCATCCGCCCTTCCCCCCATCCGCCCTTCATCTCATCCGCCCTTCCCCCCATCCGCCCTTCATCTCATCCGCCCTTCCCCCCATCCGCCCTTCATCTCATCCGCCCTTCCCCCCATCCGCCCTTCATCTCATCCGCCCTTCCCCCCATCCGCCCTTCATCTCATCCGCCCTTCCCCCCATCCGCCCTTCATCTCATCCGCCCTTCCCCCCATCCGCCCTTCATCTCATCCGCCCTTCCCCCCATCCGCCCTTCATCTCATCCGCCCTTCCCCCCATCCGCCCTTCATCTCATCCGCCCTTCCCCCCATCCGCCCTTCATCTCATCCGCCCTTCCCCCCATCCGCCCTTCATCTCATCCGCCCTTCCCCCCATCCGCCCTTCATCTCATCCGCCCTTCCCCCCATCCGCCCTTCATCTCATCCGCCCTTCCCCCCATCCGCCCTTCATCTCATCCTCTGTTCCCCTCTTCCCCCCTTCCTCTCGTGGTGGTTCCCTCTCATCCCCCCTTCCTCACGTCCTCCTGTCCTCTCATCCTCCTTTCCTCTCATCCGCCCTTCCCCACGTCCTCCCTTCCTCTCGTCCTCTCTCCCCTACTTCCCCCCCCCCCCCCCCCCCCCCCCACCGCCCTCCCTATCATCCACCCTTCCTCTTGTCCACCCGTCTTCTCGTCCTCCCACCCCCTCATCCGCCCTTCCTCTCATCCAACCTTCCTCTCGTCCACCCTTCCTAGCATCCTCCCTTCCTCTCATCCGCCCTTCCTCACATCCTCCCTTCCTCTCGTCCACCCTTCCTCTCATCCCCTCCTGCTCTCATCCTCCCTTCGTCCCATCCGCCCTTCCTCTTATCCTCTCTCCTCATCCTCCCTTTCTCTCATCCTCCCTTCCTCTCCTCCTCCATTCCTCTCATCCCCCCTTCCCCACATCCTCCTTTCCTCTCATCCTCCCTTCCTCCCATCCGCCCTCATTTCCCTTCCAGTCGTTCCTCATTTCCCTACCTGTCGCTCCTTAAAACTGATTCCTCCATTCCAATCTTTCCTCCTTCAACCCTCTGTCCTTGCCTCCTCATTCCAGCACGCAGCCACCTTTCGGCCAGCAACACCACTAACCTGCGGGCATCTCAGCCACCCTGATCGCCAACCATCGCCCCGCGTGCATGAGCCCGAACTTCCTGAGCCAGGTACGTGCTACCATCCTCACACCTGCCTTATCTGGCCCACCTTTCACTTATCGTCTGGCAAGAAGATTCCCCTCCTACCAGAGTTTCCCCGTTGCTCAAGGACAACCGCCGTTTTCTGGAACGCACTACCAAGTGTCGCTTTGTAAGAAGAATCACTTAGACATCTCCCCACCAGGGTTGCCCCCATTTTGCGCACCCTACCATACGTTCCTGGCCACACAATTGCCCATACAATCATCCCCCCTCCATACCCCTCGTAGTCCCCTACTCACTGGAGAAATCAACCACTCCAATATCCTTTCCGCCCCTCGCTTATACATCCATCACATCCCATCCTTATGCCCTCCCTTCCCATCGCTGAGCCCTCATTTGAGCCTGGCCCCCTCACATCCCATCCATCCGCTCTCTCATCCATTCCTGTCGCCGTCAGTGCTCATCTCCCTCACTTCCCTTCCTGTCGCCCATGGCCCCATCACTCCATCTGCGTTCACCTGAGGTCGCTCGCTCATTGCGCGCCATTCATGACAACATGCTCTCCACTCTCCATTCCACCTACATTCGTGCCTCTCTACCAACCTACCACCCCATTCCCTTTCCATTCAGTCCCATCCTTCCCATCCAGGCTTCGATGGCGAACCATCCAGTGTCTAGTGTGTGCAGCACGTTCAACCAGCGTCATTATACAGTCCATTGGAAACTCAGAGCCCCAGTTTGCTACCTGCGTGTGGGGCTAAGCGTGCTTATGCCTGACAATAAAGTGGCTACGCATAACGATCTATTATCAGTCTACATGCAAGCTGCGCCACATGTCACAGAGAGACTTATGAGGGCAGCAAGACATGCAGGTAACAATGGAGAATGTGGGGGTTTGTCGCTTGATATAGTGCTGTAATGTGCACTCTGCCCCATGGACAGTGTGTACTGTTCTCACAGGTTGATGTGCTTGCTTGGTTTTGCGACAGGTGCGGGTCCTGGAGGAGAGGGCGCTGGCCAAGTTGTGAGGATGCATCTGGAATCCGACTCGAAGGCCTTCTGGAAGCGCATGGGGAGAGGGACCACAACGGTGGAGGATCTGTTAGCGAGGCCAGACCGATCACTGATAGGTGTAGAGTTTAAGTTTCCAAAATGGGAGAGAGGAAAAAATGGCGAGCCTAGAAGAGTGGAAGGAAACGGATGGGGCGGTGCACGCAACCAAGCTGCAGCAAGCGTCCCGACGGTAGAAGGTAAGAACGTAATGAGATGCTCATTCTACTAAAAACTTCCCTCCCTCTCCCAGCCCTATGGGCCTAATGCTTGTTTCCCCCATGGCACTGCCTAATACTAACACGACCCCGACCCCCCCACCACAACAGGTCTACTATTCTGCCTATTATCTCCCACCAACCCCCAATCTTATTTCTGTCCCTATTTGCTGAATTCTCTTCCCCGTTGCCCATAAAACTGTCGCCCCCCGCTCTGCCCTGAACCCTTGTCCTTTCCACCCTCCCCCGACCTGCCTTGAAGCCCTAACCCTGGCCCTAATTCTTGTTCCCCTGCTGCATGTCAACAGGAACCCCACAAACAAATGAGGACGGGAATGGCCCGTGCTTGTCGGCCGAGAACGTGTATGGGGTCGAGGGGGTGAGTGTTGAAGACCCTACACAACCGCATGGCACTCATTCGAGCCCCCAAACCGGTGGCTATTCTGAGGGGCCAAACAGGTACAAGCAATAATTGACCTGCTGAAATACTAACCCATATGTTCATTTCCACATTCATTGATAAGATGTGGAGTAGCACGTGCAGCACGATTACAAAAACCAATCCAATTTTGTATCCGTCTTGATTTCTGTCCATGCAGCCTGGATGCTGGCTCCGTGACGCGCAAGCGTCGTTGGCCCCGTGGTTGGCCAAACCCACCAAATTGGGAAGACTTTCCAGCAGACATGGTGTGTCTTCTCGATCCGAGGGTGATGGTATCGTTCTTTTGTGGTCGCGCCTTAGGCACGTGCGTGAGGTCTGCGTGCAGAGGTGCAATGCAACTTGAGTCGTGGAAGCGGTCATGGGCATGTCTGGGGTTGCTGTGGTTGTGCAATGTCTGCTCAGCCAAGGAGGAATTTTGGTCAAGTAGTCGAGTGAGAGATGACCTACCTCCCAGCAAGCGTGGTCCACGTAGTCCGCCATTGATGGGTAAGATGATTGGAGCATTCGCTCTTGCCGGGATTGGGTATCAGCAGATGTGGGAGGTATGTCGCACCTTAGGCGTGCCGAGGCCAGGGCACGAAACATATTACAAGTGTTTGAAGGGCGACAATGGTTTGTGGAGTGTAATAATATCAGTGGCCAGTCAAAACATGATTAACTATTGCAGTCTGTGTAAAAAAAGGAACACATGTACAGGGTGTATCGTACCCGATAACCATCCCTCCCTTGCTAACAATCAGTAAATTCCAGACTCTTGCGTGGCCACATTGACAATTGACCTAGCATCGTTTGACCTCATCCCAAAATCAATCTCGTCAGGGATTCTCCACATCGCCGACCCCTCTCCTCCTCATCATCCTCGGAACCCTCCTCCCCAATCCTGAATCCAAGCGTCAGCCGTCTCCGAGGAGTACGTCTCCATGAAGACATGGCTGATGAGGTGGACTGGTTTAGAGGGTGAGAAAAGGGAACATCAGGCAGAGAACAACAAGGGAGAGGGAGGGGTTAGGGAGTGAATGGGTTGGGAGGGGGGAAGGGGGGGAGGGGGGGGGGGGGGGGGGGGAACAGAGGATTACGCAGGTCATTGAATTGTGTTGGCTGTGTAGGGTAGGGTGGGCAGGTCAGGCACTAAACAACAGGTCCGGAAGCACCCTGCACTGTCAGAGTGGGGCACGGGAGGTGAGGAGAGAGGAGCACCCTGCCCTGTCCGAGTGGAGCACGGGAGGTGAGGAGAGAGGAGCACCCTGCCCTGTCAGAGTGGGGCACGGGAGGTGAGGAGAGAGGAGCACCCTGCCCTGTCCGAGTGCAGCACGGGAGGTGAGGAGAGAGGAGCACCCTGCCCTGTCAGAGGGGAGCACGGGATTTGAGGAGAGAGGAGCGTCCCACATTCCAGAGTGGAGCACGGGAGGCGAGAGGAGAGGAGCACCATGCCCTGTCAGAGGGGAGCACGGGAGGTGAGGAGAGAGGAGCACCCCACCTGTCCGAGTGGAGCACGGGAGGTGAGGAGAGAGGAGCACCCCACCTGTCCGAGTGGAGCACGGGAGGTGAGGAGAGAGGAGCACCCCACCTGTCAGAGGGGAGCACGGGAGGCGAGAGGAGAGGAGCACCATGCCCTGTCAGAGGGGAGCACGGGAGGTGAGGAGAGAGGAGCACCCCACCTATCAGAGGGGAGCACGGGAGGTGAGGAGAGAGGAGCACCCTGCCCTGTCAGAGTGGAGCACGGGAGGTGAGGAGAGAGGAGCACCCCACCTGTCCGAGGGGAGCACGGGAGGTGAGGAGAGAGGAGCACCCCACCTGTCAGAGGGGCGCACGGGAGGTGAGGAGAGAGGAGCACCCTGCCCTGTCCGAGGGGAGCACGGGAGGTGAGGTGAGAGGAGCACCCTGCCCTGTCAGAGGGGAGCACGGGAGGTGAGGAGAGAGGAGCACCCCACCTGTCCGAGTGGAGCACGGGAGGTGAGGAGAGAGGAGCACCCCACCTGTCCGAGTGGAGCACGGGAGGTGAGGAGAGAGGAGCACCCCACCTGTCTGAGGGGAGCACGGGAGGTGAGGAGAGAGGAGCACCCCACCTGTCCGAGGGGAGCACGGGAGGTGAGGAGAGAGGAGCACCCCACCTGTCCGAGGGGAGCACGGGAGGTGAGGAGAGAGGAGCACCCCACCTGTCTGAGGGGAGCACGGGAGGTGAGGAGAGAGGAGCACCCCACCTGTCTGAGGGGAGCACGGGAGGTGAGGAGAGAGGAGCACCCCACCTGTCCGAGGGGAGATGGCGAGGGTAGGTGATAGGAGCACGCGAGGGGTGGCGAGAGGAGCGCGCAAGGTGAGGAGAGAGGAGCATGCGCGGGGATGCGAGAGGAGAACGAGTAGGGGAACAGAGAGATGAACGCGAGGGGTGGCAGGAGGAGCACACGCGGGATGATGGGTGGAGGCCACGAAATGAGGCAAGACCCTCATTTCGCTATAAAGGCGAGAGGAGGACGCGAGGGGTGGCGAGAGGAGCACGCGAGGGGTGGCGAGAGGAGCACCCGAGGGGTGGCGAGAGGAGCGCGCAAGGCGTGGAAAGAGGAGCATGCGCGGGGAGGCGAGACGAGAACGAGTGGGTGAACAGAGAGGAGAACGCGAGGGGTGGCAGGAGCCGCTCATGCGGGATGGTGTGGGGAGGCAACGAAATGAGGCGAGACCCTCATTTCGCTATAAAGGCGAGAGGAGCACGCGAGGGGAGGCAGTTGAGTGGGATGGAAGGGAGCGAGGGGGCAAGGATGAGTGGAGGGGGACAAGAGAAGCAGAGGGGGGAAAGAGAAGCAGAGAGCGAAAGAGGAGCAGGGGGGAAAAGTGGAGCAGGGCAGAAAAAGAGGGGGAGAGGGGGAACAGAGGAGCAGAGGAGCACGCAAGGTCAGGAGAGAGGCGCTCGCACGGTGAGGAGAGAGGCGCACGGTGAGGAGAGAGGATCACGCGCGGGGAGGAGAGAGGAGCACGCGCGGGGAGGCTTGAGGACGCCCTTTGGTGAGGAGAGAGGAGCACGTGCGTTGAGGCGAGAGGAGCACGCAGGGTGAGGAGAGAGGGGCACTTGCGGGGAGGCGAGAGGAGCACGCAGGGTGAGGAGTGAGGAGCACGCGCGGGGAGGCGAGAGAAGCACGCAAGGTGAGGAGGGGGAAGCACGTGCGGGGAGGCGAGAGAAGCACGCAGGGTGAGCAGAGAGTCGCACACGTGGGGAGGTGAGGAGAAAGGAGCATGCGCGGGGAGGGGAGGGGAGCAAGCATTGGAGGTGAGGAGAGAGGAGCTCGCGAGGGGAGGCGAGTGTCGCACGTGCGGGGAGGTGAGAGGATGCTGCGCGGGGAGGCCAGAGGGGCGCGCGCGGGGTGGAGGGAGAAGCACGCGCGGGGAGGCGAGAGATGCACGCGCGGGGAGGCGAGAGATGCACGCGTGAGGCGGCGAGAGGAGGACGAGCGGGGAGGTGAGAGGAGCCCGCGCATGGAGGCAAGTGAAGCGCGCGCTAAGGCGAGAGGCTCACGCGAGTTGGAGTAGTCGAGGAGCACGCGCGGGATGCTGAGGGGAGGCCATGCGGGGAGGCAACAGGCGCGCGCGCTATAAAGGCGCGTGCCGCACGCTAGGGATGGTGAGAGGAGACCGCCGGGGAGGCAGCAAATGCAGGCGCGGGGAGGCAAGAGGATGCCGCGCGGGAGGCGGGAAGAGCGCGCGCGGGGTGGAAAGAGGATGCCGCGCTGGTTCGGGGTAGGAGCGCGCGCGGGGAGGAGAAACGTGGGCGTGCAAGTCAGGATAGTGGGAGTGGCGGGGACACGACTTACGGAGAAAGTGGCTGGTCGCGGAGTGGTGGACGGGGCGTCGGAATGGGGCCCGACGGCCTGTGCGAGGAAGCGATGGGAGTGGTGATGGCGACGGGGACACGGGGGTCGCGAGGGTGGCGGTGCGTCAAGGCTGAGGACGATGTGAGGGGACAAGCGAGGTTGTCCAACTAACATAGTTTTGCGCGGCCTATCGTAATATGCGCGACACGCCTTTCACGCTGCCCTATTGGCGTTTCTCTCGTGTTGCAACGGGGCTGCAGGTAGGAATTTACCATCTGACTGAACTGGCGTCCGGCGTAGTAGCCTCCCGCACGTTCCTGAATTACCAATTTCTAGGCAAACTGTGCACAGGCAGTTCCCTTCTCCGCTCAGGAAGGGGTGCTTGGGTCTCTCGCTAGGTCTTCGTGTTCTGATCTACGACGCAGCCTTTTTGGCATGCGACGTTTTCAGGTAACCATTTTGGCTCGGGATGTCAACTTTGGGTTCGGTAGGCAAACTGTGCACACTTTGCCCTTTTTTTTGTAATTCAGGTCTTGGGCTTTAAGTGTTTTTTATTCAAGTTTCTCCAATTGACGAGGCCAATAGATCTTGGTTTATTATGGACTACAAACTCCACTGAACACAAGCCTCTCCTAGTCGCCAGCACCAAAGAAGTATCATTGACGAGCAATGGCTGCTACCTTGCTAGAGCTGTGCTCTGCGATAATAACTGTCTCAGATTCTCCACGAGAAGTAACTTCGTTAGTCGTTACGATCCATCGACAAGGCTTTTGGCACCGAGTGTAGGAGGATGTGGCTGGTGAGTTTAGGAAGCTAACATTCGCCATGCAGTAAATACGTGGAGAATGAATCTTAGAACTTTCCGCGGCACTTTCCAGCAAGAGCAACGGCTGGGATCGCGTGGTGAGTCGTTTACTTTTCTCACCTTACGACGTTGCTCAAAGCTTTTTGTATCTTGTTTTCCCGAATCGAAGCTGTGTATCGTCTTATGAATCTAACGTACGTTCGGCATAGTTCATGGTCAGTGTCTCTTTTAATTGCTCGTGTCAAGAGGATAGGAGTCGAGACGCTGACAGCACGCCCTCGCGACTGGGCGCGTGGTGCGTTGTTTACTCCTCTCTCCTACGACGTCAGGGCTTAGCTGAAAGCGTTTTGAAACTTGTTATTCCGCACTGAATCTGTATTCCTTTTTCGAGATCTAACGTGCGTTCAGCATGGCTCATGGTGAAGGTCTTTTTAACGCTTCGCCATGTCAGGAGGAGAAGAATCAACGCGCGAATGGATCACGCGATGGCCAGGGAATAATACTGCATCTGTGACATGCGCATCTGTGACATGCATCTGTGACATGCGCATCTGTGACATGCGCATCTGTGACATGCATCTGTGACATGCGCATCTGTGACATGCATCTGTGACATGCATCTGTGACATGCGCATCTGTGACATGCGCATCTGTGACATGCATCTGTGACATGCGCATCTGTGACATGCATCTGTGACATGCGCATCTGTGACATGCATCTGTGACATGCGCATCTGTGACATGCATCTGTGACATGCACATTTGTGATATGCGCATCCGTGACATGCGCATCTGTGACATGCATCTGTGACATGCGCATCTGTGACATGCATCTGTGACATGCGCATCTGTGACATGCGCATCTGTGACATGCATCTGTGACATGCACATTTGTGATATGCGCATCCGTGACATGCGCATCTGTGACATGCGTGACAATTGTTCTTCTAGTAACTGGGACAGGTGAAGGTGTGTGCACGTCGTGAAGGTGTGTGCATCTGTGACCAATACTGCGGTGAAGGTGTGTGCATGCCGATTGTTCTTATAACTGTGACAGACGAGTGAAGGTGTATGCATGGTGTATTGGAGTCCATGGCGTGGTGGGACACCATTCACGGGCGGGGGGAGTGGTTTATTTGCTCAATCATTCTTCAAAGCGACAGAATGGAAGAGCTGAAATTCTGGCAGGCTAGCTCCAAGCAGCACGGCTCTGACAGAATGGTTTGCAAAGGAATTCTTGCCAGAAGGGAAGGTGGTGATGTTCAACCCCCTTGTCAACCCCCTTTTTAGAAGCACCCTCTTCAACCCCAGCTACTCCACCTGTCTCACCACAGGGTTATTTGAACCTGGTTCACAGCTGATGGAAGTGCTGTATGACAGGAGACTGCGGTGTTTTTTTTAACTCTGGCTGGTGCGGATTCAGAAAGAGGCAATTGCATCCTTCTGTATGTATGTATATATGGCTTAATGGTTCTATGGTGTATGCTTCTTAGTGAGCTAGAGTGGTGCAATGATAGGTATATCTCCATTGCCCAGAAGTTGTCCATGCACCATGACATCCACGCTGGCAGTTGAGGAACGAAACATCAAGCAAAAACGTGCAGAATCGGGACATGTGTAAGGCTGTGCAAGGCACGCGGCCTGGCCACAATGTATATATACAAACTTCTTACTGCACATGACATGAGCCTTAGTGTCACTACAGGCCACCTAAAGTATACATGGACAGTGTACATGCCATCATTATTGTCTGTGTTGTTAGCAGCCCGTGAATGGGCTGTCGTTGTAATGATTGCCAAGCTGTCCGTGCTGTATCAACCAGCCAAGTGACCTTGCTGGTTGCATGGTCTTGCTTCCAACAAGGTGCCTCTGCTGCTACCAGCACTTGTGTTTGTGCAACGAGGAGGCAATTAGGTGATATCTCACTAGCACATGTACCATGCTTGTAGTATATCGCCTAACTGCCTCCATGCTCCTTCAGAAAGAGCCTGTTCAGCGACTTACTGAATTTTCTGCTTGCACTCTTGCTCCCACTGCTGCTGCTACCAACACTGGCGCCTGCACCGCTGCTGCTGCCGCTGCCAGTGCCACGACTGTTACTCCCACTCCTGCTCCCATCCACCAACCCTGTCCCATTCCTGCTCCCAACCTTCTCTCCAAATGCTTTCCCTGGCCATCCCTTCTTTGGCCATGGCAGCTTCTTACCAAGCTTCTTCCAAATACTATCTGAAAGCAGCGGATCAGGCCCGTATCCTCCGAACGGGTGAACAATTTTGTGAAAAAAAACGTCGACCCATGCGTCAGGCACCCCCGGAAGGCACCATTTTACGCAGTCCATTTCGCTGGCATCTGGAGGGGGTCCATACGCTGCCATATGCCCGTCCGCCCGATACATTGACATTTGCAATATGTCAAGAAGCTTGATTTTCGATTTGGATAAAGCTTGCCGCTGCACTGCAGTCCAGCCGGTGGCGTCGCTCCGAGCCTCTGCGTAGCGCATCGCATCAGCTTGTAAAGGGGATGCAAACAGCCCGCACGTGGTAGCCGCGTATCGGAACATATTTGGGTTGTGCGACGGCGGCATGGTGAGGAAAAACGGCCGAACCAGCTGGAAATTCTTATCGAAATAACCCGATACAGCTTTAAGCGCAGTAGATAATGCGTCTTGTGGTGTAGGCTGTGGCGAAATTGGCTTCCCCTGGGAATAATAAATCCTCTGATTGCTGATATAGCTGCTGTACGCACTGTTGTTGACACTGGTGGTGGTAGTGGCTGGCTGGGGTAAAAAGTAATTGCTGGCGACGAGAATCAGGGCTTTAAGCTGAGGGATTTTAGGCAGCATTTCCAGGATCTTGTGGTTGATGGTGCCCAGCTGCACGTGCCATAGGTGAGAGGCCTTGGACTCGCCCTGGGGGGTGGAGAGGGGGAGACAAAGAGCAGAATCATAAGAATATTAGGGAGCAGAATCATAAGAATTTTAGAGAGCATTTCAAGGATCTTGTGGTTGATGGTGCCCAGCTGCACGTGCCATAGGTGAGAGGCCTTGGACTCGCCCTGGGTGGTGGGGGGAAAAGAAGGAAGAGGAAGAGAGGGATATGAAGAGAGGGAGAGAGGGAGAGGAGGAGGATGACTTGAGCAAGGGAGGGAGAGAAAGAGGAACAGGTGGATAGAAATGTGAGGTTCTGGTCCAGTCTGAACTTGTCCAGGATTTTTCCAATCCAGGGATGGCCCCAAGCCAGTCTGCACAAGCCAGGGATGGCCCTAGGCCTTAGACCCACGCTGGGGAGACTATGCACCATGCACCATGCATCATGCAACATACAGCATGAAGCATGCAACATGCACCATTCCATTCACCATGCACCATACCATTCACCATTCACCATGCTCCATGCGCCATACCATTCACCATTCACCATGCACCATGCACCATGCACCATACACCATGCACCATACCATTCACTCTCACCTCAGCCTCTGACCAAGCAACTATGAGGAAGGGAGCATCCACCAAAATGACACCATGTTCCCTGCTCATCCGCCATCCACAACCATGCACCATTCACCATTCACCATAGCAGAAAATCTCACCTCCACATCCGGCCAGGCCTCCATGAGGAAAGGAGCATCCACCAGACTAACTCGGACTTGGGAATGGCAGCAGCCATGACTGTTGCAATGCACACCAATGGCACATTCCTGCTGCTCACCTCCACATCCGGCCACGCCTCCAAGAGGAAGGGAGTGTTTACCAGAATGACGCACATGCCATGTGTCATGCTGCTTCATGCACCATAGCACCCATGCCAGAATGACCCATGTGCCTCCATGAGGAAGGGAGTGTCCACCAGAATGACTCGCCCTCCCAGCATGGGCCACACACAATGTGCCCTCATGCTTCATGCACCATGCACCATGCACCATGCACCATGCACCATGCACCACGCACACGCACTATGCACCATGCACCATACAGTTGACTCACCTCCACATCCGGCCATGCCTCAATGAGGAAGGGAGCATCCACCAGAATGACCCACATGCCCATGTGCCATGGTGCTACATGCACCATGCACCATGCACCATGCACCATGCACCATGCACCATGCACCATACACCATACACCATGCATTATGCAATGCTCACCTCCACATCCGGCCATGCCTCCATGAGGAAGGGAGTGTCCACCAGAATGACTCGCGTGCCAAGCAGCTTCACCTTAAAGCCCTGGCCCGTCCACCCAGCTAGTTTCGGATCCCAGTCCTGCAATTCAATATAGGATGGTAAACAGGGTAACAAATAGGGTTTACTTACCACGTCCCTCTCTCTCTTAAAAGAAACATGAAATATTACAACCACCAAGGTATTTCTGTGCAGTGTACACTTTTTGATGGATGTGGATTGCATTATACAGATTCCATGTTTGTTAGTACTTGTTATCTGATTCTCTACGTTCAACACTTACCTCTGTAGTGTAGTGTTGGCTAATTCGGCATCGCAGTGATTGGTAGAGGTACTGTCCGGTGCTGTCACCCGCAATAGCAACCGATTGGCCCACGAACCGAGCCGCAAATGACTTGGGATTGAATCTGCACAGGTAAGCGCGAAATGGGTAGGAGAGAAAGAGGTGTCAAAGGAAAGGGAACAAAACAAGAACGACAGAAGCGAGAGAGGATGGAAGAACGAGGGATGGGGAATGAAAAGGAGAGGTTAAGAGGGAGAGGAGAGAGGAAGAGGTGTGAGTGAGAGATGTGAGGGAGGGGTGTGAGAGAGGAAGAGGTGTGGTGTGAGGGAGAAAGAGGACTTAGAGGACGTGGTTCCAAGCAATCTTGGGTTGAGCCTTACATGGTCAGATCACAGCCGTTGGGTTTCCAGATGAGGTGCTGGAAGTCGCCATCCGGCCGTCCGTTCTTGATGCAGTTGAAGTTATCCGTGATATACGGACAGTCGTTTTGATACTGCGGATACTTCGACGAAGGAACCCATCTGAAAAAGGGAAGAGGAGGAGGGTATAAGTGGTGGAACGAAAAGAGATAACTGCAAGGAAAATCACAAGGAAAATCGCGAGGATAACTGGGTTGAGGATGAGAAGCCAGTAGTTGGAAAAAAAAAAAAATCATAGATACTATCAGTAGTAGAAAAATCATAGATACTATCATTAGTAGAGAAATCATAGATATGGTTCTGGGGTGACTCTGGGGGGAGAAGGTAACGGTAACGCACGATCCGACAGTGATGTCGCATTTCTTGCCGGACCGCGCGGCGGCCGTCGCATGCGACACGAGCGAGAGGCTGGCGAAAATGGCGGCGATGACTGCTACTGGTTGGGCGAAGAGCTGCCTCGACAAACGCGGCCGTACTGGAACTCCCATGTCTGATTGCCCTTTCTAAGCGAAGGGCGAAGGGCTGCACTTTCGCCCTTTCTAGCTCCGAAACTACTTTTGAGCAGACGATGGGGTATGGACGAGATCTGGTAGCGCGGCAAGCGGACGTGATTTAAACGGATTTAGTTGCGATGAAGGAAAAGCAGTGGTTCCGCGATCACGCTATGCTGGAGTGCGCGATGCGCGAGGGCGTGGGCGAGATTCGGAGTAGCTGCTTTAGTTCGGCAGTCGTGCCGTAGAGGAGAGGGTGAGGAGAATGTTTGGATCTCGTGTCGTGAGAGTTCACCACGGCAGCTTGCATGAGTAGCTGAGCTGCTAGTTAATATAAGTTGTCAATAGAAACTAGCTTTCGATTCCGAACGGGTTCACGAATAATAGCGACTATCACTTGTGTGAACGTTGACGATGTGCAATGCTCGCAATTTCTGAATGAGGCGGCAACGGGCGGAGACTGGTGCGGATCACGGGAAAGGGGAAGCTGACGCAGATTCTAGAAACGGAAAGCTGAAATGTCTTGGGCGCCCCGCGCCGACAAATAGGCGCATGGCCTGGCTTGTGATGCGTATTGCGCAGATAGCAGCAGTTTACGGAGGGACTTGTTCTCCTTATAAGCGCGTAAAAGTTCTCGCAAATCTGTCCAAGTTGGTCACGATCGTCCCTGGGAAAACCGTCGCACGGCGTGACGGCGCGCATTTTATCACGCGGCCTATACCCTGCGGATTCCCTTAGGCTCTCTCCTTGGAGTAGGGGAAAAGGTGGGGAGGAGGGTGGATGGGTCGTTGCTGTTGTGATTCGCGGTAGCTGTGCGATCAAGCCCAAGATGACGGTGGGGTTCCTATTGCAATGGTCAGTCGCTGTCGGTTCGCGCGGTGGTACTGGCAGTTGGAACCGCGGCTTTCGGCACATCATTATCAAGGCTGGAAGGGGGCTGGCCCTCGTACCTCCCCCCCCATTTGATGATATGCGGCGTCGAGTGATGATGGGTGGAATGATGCGAGGTGAGGTGTATGAGAGATGGTTCACCTAGGCTCGTTTCGCTCTGGAAAGTAATGAACAGTGGAGCACGCTGAATGCCTCAATCAAGATGAGCTGAAATGAGCCACGAGACGAGACACGCAGCGCCCGAGGAAAGGGGCGTCGGAAGGAACTCGGAAAGCGAACAAACAATGGATGGAGAGATCAGAAAACATGAAAGATAAAATCGATGCGTTAGGGGTGTGTTCGAGTCGAGTCGAGTCACTTTCTCCCTCTCTTGTCTCGACTCCTTCAACCAAGCCAACTGGCAGGCCCATCCATACCAACCAAGCACGCAGGCGTTTGTTCAGGTTTCGACAAAATCATGGCGCAGCACACAAAAAATGGTGCCATTCAGCAGGCGCCTACTTGTGCCCGCACTTTCACCCCACGAAATGTAGGGATGTCGGCGCACGGTTAGACATTTCCGACGAAGCGCGCTTGCGAGGGGCAAAGCGCAAAAACAACTCCGTGAAGTGCGGCGATGCATTCGCTCTCGGCAGCTTTGTGATGCCACGTCCTCATCTTGTATGAGATACACCTTGGACTTACTCCCTTGCACTAAACTTGCTTGGCAAATCAGATTATTAGTAAGCTTTTCCCCCCAAAAAACAAATCCGTCTTACAAAAACGGCTTAAAAAAATATGAGCCGTTCTTGGCAGAATTAAGGCCTACAGACATGAATCTGTGACAAGTATGGAATTGAGCGCATCAGCAATGGTCACGCAATCCTAGTGATACCTACATTCTTTAGGGCAAGAAACGCCCCCATGGTAAGAAACCATTTACCATTTGATATGGTTCTAAATTGACGATCACAATACTGTACCTTTTCATCAAACAAACAACACACAAATCACACATTTATTGCTCTATGCTAACTAGTCCCAGCCCATTCATAATAATTTACCATAAAGGGCATCTGCAGTACGCAAGCATTTGCCCGGTAATCATACGAATAACAATTCGTGTATGTGCCTATAGCGAGGCAAGGGAGAGCTTTCATTGCAGTGCTATGCTCCTATCGAAACCATTTGTGGTTACAGTGTAGCCAGCAGCTGATCCCGCTGCTCCTGCTCCTGCTCCTTCTCCGTCTCCTTCTGCTCCTAAACCTGCTTGTTTGTCTGCTCGGCCAATCGCCCCACCTCCCGCTCTTGTAGTTCACGTAGCTGGGGCTGCGGCTGCATCTGCACTCTCATTCCCATTTCAACCCTGTCACCAGAATTGAGTTGGAGAGTGCGCCGTTTCAACACTCTTATCCTGCTGCTCCTGCACTCGACACCGCTGCTGCAGCAGCGTCAGTCATCCCCATACATGCCCTGTCTCTGAGAATGGCCAAATCTGAAAGGCATCTCAACACTCGTCTCCCTCTTCTCTTGCCGCTCCCACACTTGGCACTGCAGCAGCAGCAGCAGCAGCAGAGTCACCTCCATACATGGCCCCATTCCCAGAAATCATTGAACCGTGCGCTGCGTTGGGAGAAGATGAGAGGGAAGTAGCCTCGATGTCCCTCAGCTGCTCCTGCAGGGCCACCATCTCTTTCTGTGAGCCGAGGGAGGAGACCATTGGGGGATAAGGAGAGAGGGCACAAGCAGAGTGTTGGGAAAAGACAAATGGAAAGAAGCCTCGATGTGCCTCAGCTGCTCCTGCAGGGCCACCATTCTCTTTCTGTGGATCACCCAGGAAGGAGGAGGGCTAGAGGGAAGAGAGGAGATAATGGGGACGAACATTGAGGAGAAAAAAACCACAATGCCTCTCAGCTGCTCGTTTCGCAGGTCATAGGGGAAAAACGTGGAGGTGGAAAGCGGTGAGGGGGAGCAAGGAGAGGTTGAGGGGCGGTGATGGAGTTGATGACATGGGTAGGGTAGGGAGAGGGGTTAGGGAAAAGACAAGTGATTGTGGACAGGAGAATGAGGCCGAGGGGAGGGGGAATGGCTCCTTCAGCTGGCAGGTAGATTAAGATTCAGGCAACCCTAAACTCCAACAGATTCGGGACTTGGAGCCTCAGATTTGAAACATCTGAGGGTGACAAGGAGGCTAAGGGCAAGGGGAATTCAGGACAGAGAAACCCAGGTCAGGGAAATCCAGTCTAGGGGTATCCAGGCCACAGCGATTCAGAGCAGGGGAATTGGCAGGAAGAATCAGGGCAGAGGTAGTCATAACAGGGGGATTAAGAGTAAGGGGGGTAAAATTTTAGGGGAATCAGGGCAGAAGGAGGCGCAACATGATTTTTTTCTGAGACACCTAATCGCGCAGCTGTGCACCGGGTCTCTGAGCCTCAGATTTGAGACGTCTCGTAGAAGAGACGGCTCAATTCAGGAGGGATAAGAAGATACCCTCTCTTGTACGGTCAGTACAGAGGGTGAGGAGAATCGCAGGAGAGAGAAGGTACCTGCAGCAGGCAGATGACCCCCACACAGCCGTGCACCGGGTCTCTGAGCCTCATGGTCAAGCCAGGGGGGGGACAAGGAGATTCGCTCCAGGGAGGAGGGCAAAGGGAGGGGAAGGGGGGGAGGTACCTGCAGCAAGCAAATGACCCCCACGCAGCCGTACACCGGGTCTCTGAGCCTCAGAGTTGGGACAGGGGGGAGGCACAAGTAGTGTTTGGGGTGCCTCAATAGAGGGGAGAGAGGGAAAGTACCTGCAGCAGGCAGATGACCCCCACGCAGCCGTACACCGGGTCTCTGAGCCTCATGGAGAAGGCCTAAATGACCTCTGAGCCTAATGAGGAGGCAAATGCAGCGAAGAGAGAGAAGGAAGGTACCTGCAGCAGGCAGATGACCCCCACGCAGCCGTACACGGGGTCTCTGAGCCTCGCCTGCGCCTCGTACTCCAAGCTCGCTACTGCATCTTCCCTCTGAGCCACCGGGATGTCCTGATGGGAGGACACAAGAGCACAGCAACACAGGAGGAGAGGTCAGGAAGGAAGTGGGGAAGAGGGGAGAATGAAGTGAGGAAGTATGAAGCGGCTCTTTCGAAGCTGTGCCTCGGTCTCTGAGCCTCGCCTTCGCCTCGTACTCCAAGCTCGCCACTGCATCCTCCCTCTGTGCTACTGGGATGTCCTGTAGAGGAGGGAAGGACGTGGGGAGGGAGGCAGAAGCAGAGCAGCACAGGAATACAGGCAGGATTGAGGGAAAGGAGGGGTTATGGAACGGATCTCTGAGCCTCGCCTGTGCCTCGTACTCCAAGCTCGCTACTGCATCCTCCCTCTGTGCTACTGGGATGTCCTGTAATGGGGGAATAGGGGAGGAAAACACAGGAGAGAGGAGTAAAGGCAGGAGAGTGGGAGAAGAGGAATGATTGAACGGGCCTCTCTGAGCCTCGCCTTCGCCTCGTACTGCAAGCTTGCCACTGCATCCTCCCTCTGAGCCACCGGGATGTTCTGTAGAAGAAGGGGGGAAGGAGGAGCAAGTAGACTAGAAGGAGGAGGAGCAGGATGACAGGAGAGGCAGGGGAGGCAGGGGAGGCAGGAGAGTGGGAGCCTTAAAATAATTCAGTGAAGCCTTATCCTGCTATTGTGATTTAATAAGGCTCGCCTGTCACTTTATAAGGGTCAAGAGCTATTTTGTAAGGTCAGTTCAGGCTAGCTGTGAGTTTTTACTCACCTGTAACCTTAAACAAGAAAGGTAGAACAGTAACAACTCTCAGTGCCATATTTGTTGTAATGATCACTTATGACCCTTCAGTAAATCTCCCCTCAAACGTTTGACTAATGCCCACCTGTAACACTTTCGTCAAGTTGTTCGCACGTCGCATTCCACCCCACCCGCACCTATCCCCCTCCTTTCCCGACAACTTCGAGGCGACATCACAACTCGAGGCGCCTCACCTGTAACATCTTGGAGTTCGTTGCTGGCGACAAATTCGCCGAATATTTATGCGCTTTCATTTCTCCCAACCAACCAGCACTTGCGACAGCAGCACAGCCACCTTACATGCAGCAACTTCATCGTGCGTATTTTCTGCACCCCACTCCCCCAACCACTGCTCTCGCGTGATCCTCACCTGCGGCACCACGGGGAACTTCTCTTGCTGCTTGCTTTCCTCTCTCCCCTATTGACGCTCGCGATACAGCCTCGCGTATAATATTGTTGCAAGGCTCACCTGCAGTGTTTTCGACACGTTGCTGGCGCTGAGCACTTAGTGCACCACGTGGAACTTCCCTTGAGCAGCAGGCACTCGATTCCCTTCAGTTTCCCTACTCGATCCCCCCTGACCAGAAAGCAAAAGCAAGGCTCACGCGCAGCACACTTCGTGCACCACGTGGAACTTCTCCGGCTGGTTTTCCGGTAAGAGACCAGCACAAGGGACCAGTAAGGCTTACCTGCAGCATTTTCGAGACGTTGCTGGCTCCAGCGCCAAACACTTTGTGCACCACGAGGAACTACTTCTCCGGCTAGTTGCACCCGACCCTCTCCCTCTCCCTCTCCCTCACCCTCCTTCAAGTCAACCTCACCTGCAGCATTTTCGACACGTTGCTGGCGCCGAATACTTTGTGAACCACGTGGAACTTCTCCGGCTGGTTGCGCGGGAAGTACGGCAGCAGTAGGCACTCGCGCGTGCACTTGCGCCGCAGCGACTTGCACGCCGCGCACGGCGGATCCTTCGCCGCCGCCGCCGCCGCCGCCGCTTCTGGCGCCGCTGGCGCTGCTGGTGCGGTTGCTCCTTCTTCTGCTGCTGCTGGCGCTTGTGCTGCTGGCGGCGCTGCTGTTGGCGGCGCTGCTGCTGGCGGCGCTGCTGCTGGCGGTACTGGCGATGATGCTGACATGGGAAAGGTCCAAGCTGGTACAGCAGGAGCAGCAGCACCACCGCCGCCGCCGAAAGCAAGAGCAGCGGCAGAAGGAGGGTGAGCAGGGGAAACAGCAGGAGGGGGAGGAGGGGCAGGTGAGCCGCTTGCAGCGCCAAATGGCACGGCGGTGGCGGCAACTGTTGGCGCAACAGGGTGCGCAGCGCAGGGCGCAGCACTTGGCGCAACAGCTGGCGCGGCAGTTGGCGCAAACGGGGGAGTGGGAGAACCCACGGGGGTGGTAGTTCTTTGCGTCCCATAGTCACTCGCGGCCGGCGGAAAACTGACATTGCTCCAGGAGGATTGGCGGGCCGCAGCGGGAGAATAGTCTCCGCCGGCGGGCGGGGGAAAAAGGTTTCCGCCAGCCGGGGGCGAGCCACCGCCGCTAGGCAAGGGGGAAATGCCGCCGCTGTATCCTCCGCTGCTGAATGGCGGGGCATCGGCGCTACTAGTCATTTGCGCCCCCGCGGAAGGCGGCTCCCCTGGCGGAGCCGTGCCGTGCCACGTGTTGTTGTTCGTCTGAGCCGTGCTGGATGCACCCTGCCACGAGGTGGTGCAGGGGGAGGGCGTATTCGGCCAGGTGCTATTCATCAGAGGAATTGACAGAAGCTTTTGCTGTGGCTGCTGCTGAGACGGCTGAATCTGCTGCTGCTGTTGATAATGATGATGCGGCGGTGTTGGCAGTGATTGAGAACGGTTCTGCTGTTGCAACTGCTGCTGTTGCTGCTGCTGCTGCCATGGCTGTGACTGCTGCGGCGGCTGTTGCGGCTCATAAATCGGCGGGTACCGCGGCGGCTGTTGCGGCTGGAACGACGGTGTAGTCGTATCAACAGCAGTGGCGCCGCTGCTGTGAGTCATAGCGGTAGATGGTGAAGGGAACGCTGACGTGGAATGCGGGAATTGTGACGTGGACTGCGGGGAAAATGCTGCCGACGTGGCACAAACGTTGTGATTCGGATAAGCAGTGTTCGCGCTTGTACCGAGGGACGCATTGCCGGTGCTTGAATCGAAAGGTACAGAACTCGAAATAGGCTGGGGAGACGATGTTAACGGAGCAGAGCCGGACGAGTAACCAGTCGAGTAACCAGCGGAGGAGTTACCACCCATGGAGTAACCAGACGAGTAACCAGCCGAGTAACCAGTCGAATACGTGACGACGGACGACGAAGACCCCATTGACTGCTGTTGACCAGGGAACTGCGGCGAGTACTCCTGCTGCTGCTGTTGCTGCAGCTGCGGCTGTACCTGATGTTGCTGCAGCTGCTGATGCTGTTGCTGCGGCTGGGATTGAAGTTGTTGCTGCTGGTATTGCAGCTGTTGCGGCTGAGGTTGATGTTCCCAGTACCCCTCGTTTCCACTGGTCGAGCTTTGCAGCCGATTACCGCCCCCACCGCCGTAAGTCTCGACGGTATGACCGCCAATCCCGTTACAGGAACGCACTCGCCTGGAAGGTTCCTCGTACGGTGCAGAGTGCTCATGATTCTGGTGCATTTGAGTCGGAACCGGTTGACTTGGTTGACCTGCTTGACTCTGTTGAATCTGCTGAACCGGTTGCATCTCCATGTGTTGCGGAGTGTAGTTTTGCTGACTGATAGTCGGCGTAGCTGTGGCGGAGAGCTGTTGACTCGGTTGAATGTGTTGACTCGGTTGAATCCCCTGAGTTCGAGGTGTTTCGAGAGCCGAGTAGAATGAAGAGTCATCAATGGTTGACTTAGGCGATGGCAAAGCGTCGAAGCCCCAGGATGGCGAAAGAGGATAGTCGATGGCGGGCTTTTCGAAGGTGTTCGCCAACGGATCGTTCGCCAATGGAGTCCCATTGCACGAGCTGTAGTGTCCGCTGGACGCATCTCCGTTGAACGCGCCGTAGTCTGCGGGTTGAGTGCCACGTGAAGGGATCTGGAGCGCGGGCTGAAACAGCTGTTGTTGATACTGCTGCGGCTGATGTGTCAGCAACGAAACTGTCATTTCTGCCGCTTATACTGGTCCCAATAGCACGACTTCCCTGCTTTACTTATGCGTTCACTCTAAGGCAGTATTAGTGCGTGAGAAGCTGGGTATACCGAATGCGGCGCCTTGAAGAGTGCTCCTGAAAGCAACAGAAGTTTTGAGGCGCCTCAAAACTCATGCGACTGCAGGAGGAATCTCCAGCGGCGAGCAGCGACGCGTCACGAATTCATTCGCGACATTCCTTGGCCGCCGCTTTCCGGAATTTCTATGCCCCACTGCGAATCTGTCAACTGAGAACTAGATCTCCCGACTCATTCCAGACATTACGAAGCCCCAGCTCCAAGCTATTTCGGAAGCGAAGGCGATTTTGGAAAGATGGAAGGATGACGTCGGTGGTTGTGGTGGGAAGAAATCCCGACTGGAAAAAAGGGGCGAATAAGTGGGGTGAAGAAGAGAGGCCCACGACGGGCTAGGGACAACCCGGCAGGCTGCAGCCTAGCACGCCATGCCCCCGTAATGGGATGAGGCTGGTAGAACATGGGTCGTGGGAATGGCATACATGCGCTTCGCGGTGTATATGGTGGAATCTCGCAAGCACGCACATGTTTGTGGGGAGAGGGGCGAAGCGAAAGCGTGTGCGAATGAGGACGTGTGGATGTGCGAAAGATGGGGTCATGGAGTGTGGGCGCGGTACGGATGTATGGTGCACCCGCCCTTCCAATTGCGCGACGTGGCGGCGATTTCCAGAATGGTGGCTTCGTCTAGCGATTCGAAGCGGCTCTTTGCGAAGGAAGGCATGCGTGGCAGAGGAAGAATCTTCATGCGAGTACCAGAGGCGAAGGCTAGCGAGTACTTTCAGGGTTCGTGTTCCGTCGCTCGGTCAATGCCAGATCGGTTGGTCTTGTCAAACGCTGCGAATTCGTCCCTCTGATTGGTTACGACGAGGCGGCGACGATGATTGGTTCACCCAGCCAGCCCACAAATTTTCACAGGTTTTGGGAGATGAAAAGTGGCGCACTCAATTCGCCGCCATCGCATTGAGCACGTGGCTTGAAGCTGGTGTGACTCTCTTACCATGTCGCATCGCAACCCAACTACCTCAACAGAAAATTTTACGGCTGAATAGTTTAGTGTACCTTCTGTGCTCTTCTTTCATGCCAATATGTCTTGGATAGACCTAGACTTCAGATGGGGCCACCTAGGTACCAACCAGAACATCTGTTTAGAAAAAAACATTTCACTTAGCAGTTTTTGGGGTACACACCATGAAACCATAATCCTAGTGGTACGAACTCTCATGGTGCTTTCAAGCTCTAGGGCCTGACTAGAAGTAATCTAGGACTTGGACCCCTGCTTCTCTTTATGTGCTTTGCGCCCGGCTTCGATCGCTTCCCTGTAAAAAAAAAGGGCAAGGCAGCAAAACACATAAGAAATTAGGATACAAACCAGAGGCTGCCTGCAGAAGTGCATATTCAGGTGAATCAAACACTTACTGGAATGCTGCTGTGAGATCCATGTTATTGGGATCGACTTGAACTCCCTCAAAGAACACATTCGCTGCATCCTCGTAACGCTGCAACACAACAAAAGGCAGCCGAAATTTTATGCGGAATATGAGGGCATGTTCCTACGGCCTCTTATCAGGCCAACCTCTTATCAGGCTCGCGTCACAACACACTGAAATTTCCCTAAACCCAATCCTTCGTGAATTTCACCAGGCAAAAATGCGAAGCTGATATGAGGTGTCCCTGATAAGGGGCCGTAGGAACATGCCCTGAGTTAAACGATACGGAACAAATCGCCCCACTGCAAGAACAACGTGAAGCGCGCTATGTCAAAAACGCACTGTCTCTCACAAATGAACCAGGGTCACCACCGCCACCTTTTCTCCACCTCTCATCCGCGCATAGCACTCACCTCCATGGCTTGGAACGCACTTCTCAAAAGTACGCTTCAGGCCAGTCCGGCCGCAGCGATCGACTCAACTACCCATCTGCCCGTCTGCCAGGGCCAAAGCAAGAAGCGCCTACCTATCTTCTATACACCCTTCCCTCTCCCCTCCCAACACTCCCCTCTGCCTAACACCACTCACCTCCAACGCCCGGAATGCTGAAGGGTGTTTTTGAGAATTCTCAAAAACACCCTCCCAACACTCCCCTCTGCCAAACACCACTCACCTCCAAGGCTCAGAATGCAGTGCCTTCTCGAAAGTACGCCTTGGCCCAGTCGGGCCGCAGTGATCGTCTCATCTGCCCATCTGCCTGCCCGTCTGTCAAGTCAAGGAGCGCCTTCTTCCCCACCACCCATACACCCTTCCATCTCCCCTCCCAGCACTCACCTCCAAGGCTCGGAAGTAAGCCTTGGGCCAGTCGGGCCACAGCGACCGACTCATCTGCCCGTCTGCCAGGGCCAGAGGCGCCGGCCTATCCAGTCATACACTCTTGTGAGTGGTTTTTGAGAATTCTCAAAAATCACTCAAAAGGCCTATCCAGTCATACACGCTTCCCTCTCCCCTCCCAACACTCCCCTTCGCCTAACACCACTCACCTGCATGGCTCTGAAGGCACTTCCTTCTCGGAAGTACGCTTTGGCCCAGTCAGGCCGCAGCGACCGACTCATCTGCCCGTCTGCCAGGGCCAGGGGCGCCTGTCTATCCCCCATAAACCGATCCCGCTCCCTGCTTCCCTCTCCCCTCCCACCACTCACCTCCAAGGCTCTGAAGGCACTTCCTTCTCGGAAATATGCCTTGGCCCAGTCAGGCCGCAGGGATCGACTCATCTGCCCGTCTGCCAGGGCCAGGGGCGCCTGTCCCAGGCGCAGCCAGCTGACACTGCGGTTGGCGAGCAGAGTCCCCTTCATCACCCTGTCGTCTGCTGGAATGGATGAAAGCTCCGCCGCCTCTGGGTACATATCCAATGCCTGGAGAGGGTATGGAGTGGTGGAGAGGGGTGGGGTTGGGTGGGTCCCTTCATCACCCTGTCGTCCGCTGGAGTATCTGCCAGGCCTGCCTTGAGATACAGATCCAGCGCCTGGGGATGGGGTATGGAGAGGGTGGAAGGGTGGAGGGGAGGAGGGACGGAGGGACTTGTCTGTCCGTCTGCCAGGGCGAGGGCGCCTGTCCCAGGCGCAGCCAGCTCACGTTGCGGTTGGCCAGAAGAGTCCCTTCATCACCCTGTCTTCCGCTGGAGTTGCCTCCAGGTCTCTGGGTACAAGTCCCAATGCCTGGTGCAAGGGGATACGTCTGTAGGGACGGGGTTGGGGTTTACACAAAATACAAAGGCATACACACACTGGCCGTACCTGCGTGTAAGCATCAACAGCCTCTTGGAACTGCTGTGACCTGAACGCAGCATCTCCCCTCGCCTTCGCCTCTGCCACTGCTGCGGCCACATCCGCAGGCAGAGCAGAACCAGCGGGAGCAGTCCCTACCCCTCCTGCTGCTCCCCCTCCCCCTCCTCCTGCTACCAACTCTCCTTTCCCCCCTCCTCCTGCTGCTGCGGGTGCTCGCGCCGCCCGTTTCATCACCCCCTCCACTGTCCAATCCCCCTCCGCCACGTCAGCGGGCCGCTGAGTCACCGGCAGCAGCAGCTCCACAACGTCCTTATTCCCAGCAGCAGCAGCAGCGTCAAGTGCGGTCATGCCATCCTCGTCCCGCCTGTCTGCATCGGCACCAGCGGCAAGGAGGGCCGAGACGGCGGGTGTGTTGCCCGCGTCAGCCGCAATGATGAGAGGCGTGGTGGAGGTCACACAGGGGAGAGGGGAGGATGGAGCAGCAGCACTGTTTCCATTGGCACTGGCAGTAGCAGCAGCGGCGGCAGCGGCGGCGGTGGCAGCAGCGTTGGTGGGGAGAGGGGGCCCGCCTGGGTTGGGCTGGGCGCCATGCTGTGACGAAGCGGGGACGGGGAAACAGGGCGTAGGGGGGTGAAGCAAGAGGGTTAAGGAAGGTGGGCATCAGCACCGGCGGCAAGGAGGGCCGAGACGGCGGGTGTGTTGCCGGCATCGGCAGCAACAATGAGAGGCGTGGTGGAGGCGACACAGGGGAGAGGGGAGGATGGAGCAGCAGCACTGTTTCCATTGGCAGCAGTGCTGACACTGGCAGTAGCAGCAGCGCTTGTTCCTTGTTGACCAAGTACCTTGACTTGAACTGTGCCCTGAACCTACCTAGACCCTACTTTGAGCAACAGCTGGATGCTTTCCGTCTCTCCCCAGCAGCAGTAGCAGTGAGCAGACAGTTCACGCGCCATCCTCAATGGGCGTACCTTCACTTTCACCTCGATTCATGCACGCACCAGAAATCCTACACTACACCTGAAGGCTGCTGCTCCCTGTACTGTACCTACCTTTAACAACAACTTGATGATTTCAGTCTCCCCAGCAGCAGTGGCAGTGAGCAGCGAGTTCACGCCATCCTCGCTGGGCGTGTCTGGATTGGCTCCCCTCGTTAGAAGCACTTCTGCTGCAGCCACCTTCCCGTGCCCGCACGCCCACAGCAGCGGAGGCCCAGCATCGCTCTGAGCGTTAGGGTCGGCGCCGTGGTCCAATAGGAGCTCGAGGATCTTGACCGAACCTGCGAGGAATTTTGAGGTTTGTGAGAAAGCATTGGGATTAACCTTGATAGCCAATAGGAGCTCTCATGGCTCTTCACCAATCATTAAGCTGCAAAAGAAAAACAAAGAGAACTAACAATAACAGATACAACCTTCCCTCCCGTGCTTCTAAAGGATGTGCCTATAATGAGTCAGCTATCACCCACCATGCCCTGCTGCGTGATGAATCGCCTGCGCGCCCGACTTCTCGGCTGACGTCGCAACTGCCGCCCCGTGCTCAACAAGCCACGTGGCAGCCTCTGAGTGGTCATCCCTCGCTGCCAGCATTAGCGGCGTCTCCCCCTCATCGTCCTTCACGTCCACTGGAACGCCTATCTCTTCGATCATGTACCTGCATGCAATTGAAATTACTTCAAATGAGGAGCTAACCAAATAAGCGAACCACAACAACAACTGAAACACCCATCTGCATACCTGCACGCGTCCACGTGCCCCTTGCTCGCAGCAAAATGCGAGGCTGTGCATCCATTGGCGTCCCTCACCTCCTCCACCACCTCCCTCGCCTCCTCCACTTGTGGTTGCCTAAAAAATCACCTCCCAATCACATACCTGCATGCGTCCACGTGCCCCTTGCTCGCTGCAAAGTGCAGGGCCGTGCGGCCGTTGGCGTCCCTCACCTCCTCCAGCACCTCCTTAGCTTCCTCCACTGCAAGCACACTCTTCCCCTCGTTACTGTCACTCCCCTCACTGCCCACAGCACCAGCAGCAGTAGCAGCGGCAGCAGCAGTGTCACTACTGACTATCTCATCAACATCAAATTCTGAAAGCATTTCCACTCCCCCCTTCTCCCCCTTTACCTTCCCCTCCCCTTCCCCCTCCGCCTTCCCCTCTCCTTCCCCTTCCGCCTTCCCCTCCCCTTTCTCTTGCGCCTTCCCATCCGCGATCATCACAGCTACAGCTTGTTTCAACCCCTCCACGTCACCGTCTTGGGCAGCTTTCAGCAGCCGGTTCACTTTTTCCCGGGCAGCCCATGCGGCTGCCCCGTCCTTCTTTTCACCTGCCCCATCCCCACCCTTTCCCCCCGCCTTCTCCGTCCCCCCTTTCTCCCCTCCCCCCGCCCCTGCCTGCACCCCGCCTGCTTTGGCAGTTCCATTCCTCGCGGCTGCTGCCGAAGCTGATGCTGCTGTCGAACCTGCGGCCTTGTCCGGGGAGGTTCGGATGGGTCCGAACCTCTTTTCCAAAGCTTCTGTGTCGGTTAGGGCGGGCCATTTCTGCGGGTGTTGCTTCGTCAGGGTCAGGACGAGCGTTGAGCCGTCGATGTACCAGGCTGAATCGGACGGTCGGATCTTCTCGTACAGATCTGGAGCGTTCAAAAGGGGCGCTGCAGCGCCTTCCTTCCAAGCCACCTGACAACGAGGAAAAATAAAATCGCGTGAGATTGTGACTACACAATGTGGAAGGATACTCTGTTCAATATGCAACTAAGTAGAATGTGACACAATGCAGTGGTTGAATGCGGCAATGGAGATTCGTAACAAGCTTATGAGGAAGAGTGTGCCACTAGTACGACAGCTGGTAGAAAATGACAAACGGGTTTTGAGTAAACGTTTATCGTGGATGGTACATGAAGAGAAACGCGAGGAGAGATGGAAGTGTACAGATGAATTCGGAAGTATCAAGGAGTGCCTGACGGTGCAATCAATGTGAGAATGGTACATTGTGGTGCAATGTAGGGAAATAGAACGGGTTCAAAGCGGTATCACACCTTGACGGAGCTCGGCTGTATGTCAATCGACAAGCGCTTCGCAACATCTGAAGCCTTGATTTCTGCAGGCAGCGGGATTCGAACCTCGACCTCTTCTCTTCCGTCCTCGAAGGTGTGCATGGCTCCGTAGCGGAAAAAAGTTAGTAACGATGACGGAATAGGTCTGGAACGCAGTGGTAGGTAGCGATGGCGACGCGTTCGCTTGCTCTTTAATGTGCAGCTGACGATCTCAGGATTGACGATTTAGCGTTCTAAAGCAACTAACACGGAAAGACCTGGAGGACAATGATCAATCACGAATGAAGTATGATGGTGAAAAGGTAGGAAGTTGGTGGATTAAGGACGTCTTATAAAGAGGCAGCAAGAATAAACGCCTTCTGGATGATCTCAGAAGGCTCTGGTATGGAGTGGACTGAAAGTTCCACCGGCTGGTCTGGAGGGCACTGAAAGTTCCTATCCCAGGCTAGCTTCTAGATGCTACTGAAGCCTTCTAGATTTGCCGTGGTTGGATGCTGCATAAAATGCATACTCTTCAAAAGACAGCCCATGTTGCATACAATAGTCTAAATCGTTTTCTGCTGTTGTTTGGTTACACTATTTTGTGTAGCTATCGTTTTTGTTCCGTGAATTGCGCTCATTGAATGGTCGCGGGGGCTTGCTTGGAGCTTGGAGCCTCGGATGGTGCGCAGTGGGCATGATGCACGCAGGGTGTTGAGCTGACGGCTGAAATGGCCCATTTACCAATCAGAGACGACAAGTCGCAACGTGTTCGGTTGTTCTAACCTCGATCGTCAATCAGCGGCTTGACGCCTGGCCAATAAGAGGCTAGTATTGTCAATCAGCCGACAGCCCGTCAATAATTTCACGCCAAGCGGTTCACGAAATGCATTTTTTGTCGCCAACGGCAGATTTAGCGGAAGTCATTCGTTGCTTGATTGGTCAACACCTGTAACAATTGAAGTACAATCGGCTGGAGATGGCGGCCGACGGATCCAGCCGGCGCGTCGCTCCTTGATCAAGTCGAATCGAAGGGGTGCTTTGATCAGGTAGGGCAGCCAAACAGACTGGTTGAACAAAACTGACCACCCGACCACACATTTTTCGATGACGTTCCAGCCACAAACTGTCTCAGGACAAAATAATTACTTCGGGCCAAACCCTCTCGTTCTTCTCTGTACCGTCAATCTACTCTTGGCGCCCAATCCAACGGCAGATTTGAAGCGAGAAGTAGCCCGTATGTGCAACTGGAAAATTTTCTTGTATTCATTGGGCCCCTCGTCTCCCTCGGGAAATACGTTCTGCTCGATGAAACGTGAACAAGAGAGGGAGAATACAGGAAATGCGTTCTGTACATAACTTCCTGAAACCAGTAGTTCCTTGCTGTTGTTTCTCGGTCCGCCATAACTTCTCCACGCTGTTCCTCTTCTCAACCTCCACTCCTTGACCGCCATTCTTCCTTCCGCCGTTCGGTTGATTATTACTGTTCGACAGACTGTTTCCGATCGCAACGCATCTGATTCTCCGCCACATTCAGAGCATCTTGCGAATCTGTTTCTCCCAGCTACACTTCTCTGACACGGAATTCTTTAGGTCTTGGTCGTTCCCTGCACTACCCGGGTCAGACCCAATCGCTCGGCTACCATTCATCGTCCGATCGGCTTACGGTTGCTTCGAATCAAGCACTTAATTGTTCAGCAATTACACTCCCCTCCTTCCATCGAGCAGCAATCACGCTGTTCGCCGTCAATTGCCTCACAGGTTCACCGCAGGACAATTCTCCCACTTCACAGCCTTCTTTCGAAGTGTTATCCAGTCAATTGGATCCGAAAAAATTACCGTCATGTCTTCTCTCCGTTCAGCTGCTGCACTGCTTCACCACGCGGGATCCGCAACTGCCGTCGCTAGTAACGCCGTGGCCACTAGTAGCTCCGCTATTCGCGCCGGAAAATCCGCTCACGACTCGTCGATTTCCTTGCGATCCAGCTTCCTTCCTCGCCTCGATTCGACTCTCACCACCACCACTGCCTCCACCTCATATTCGTCTCTCCCTTCCCCGTCTCTTATCGCCGTCCGATCGGCATCGGCGAGTGCTGCGGGACCGGCCGCAATTTCCGGCAGCCAATCACAGAACGGTGCCGTCCGGGAACGAGTGATCGCGATTCCGGATTTCGAGGCAGATTTTGCGCCAGAGGTGAACGGGACGTACGGGAAGGGCGGCAGCGCCGAGGACGATGCGGGCGCCATACGCGGCGGATTAATCGACGGCGGACTCGTGTACAGGGAGCGCTTCGTCATCCGGTGCTACGAAGTCGGCGTAAATCGAAAGGCCTCTATGGAGACTATCGCGAACCTACTACAGGTAAGCCCTCACTGGCAAAACACCTACCGAGTGATTCACTTTCGGGCGCGTTTTCTTCTTGATTTCATTCTCACTGAGAATGTTGGCAACCCTTAAGCTCCCTTCACCCCGTTTCCCACCCTCTCCCAGTTTCCACACACCACCCCTCCTTTTATTCCCTAACCTACTACTTCCACATCCTTCTCCGCTACTTATTCCTCGCTCTGTGCGTGTGTTTGTGTGTCTGTGTGCTTTAACCCTGCGCCCTTGCCAGGAGATAGGGTGCATTCACGCGGAGAGCGTGGGGTTCTCCAACGATGTGACCCCTCTGACTTAACTCAAAAGTCACCCCTCCGCTGTGTTGCCTGCCTGTCCGCTGTGACCCCTGCCTGCCCCCTTGCCAGGAGATAAGGTGCAATCACGTGCAGAGCGTGGGGTTCTCCAACGATAGATATGCTTGAGTCAACTCAAAGGTCAACCCTCCGTGTCATCCCTCCGTCTTCCCATTATTCCGCCTCTCGCCCTGCCCTCCCCTTGCCAGGAGATAAGGTGCAATCACGCGCAGAGCGTGAGGTTCTCAAGCGACGGTTTCGCGTGAGTTTAAGGGTCAATCATCCGTGTCACCCCTCCGTCTTTCCCTGCGCCCTTGCCAGGAGATAGGGTGCAGTCATGCCCAGAGCGTGGGGTTTTCCAACGACGTGACTCTTGAGTCAACACAAACGTCAACCCTCCGTTTGACCCCTTGCCGCCCCTCGCCAGGAGGTAGGGTGCAACCACGCGCAGAGCGTGGGGTTTTCTAACGACGGTTGATTTTTAAGTTGACTCAAAAAGTCAACTCTCCGTGTGACTCCTGTCCCCTGCCCGCCCCTCGCCAGGAGATAGGGTGCAACCACGCGCAGAGCGTGGGGTTCTCCAACGACGGTTTCGCCACCACGCCAGCGATGCTCGCGAATCGCCTCATCTGGGTTACCACTCGCATGCACATCGAGATGTACAAGTACCCCAAGTGGTAGGTGTTTTTTGGGTGTACTCTGAATCGTTCTCGCAAATTACCTGACCTGGGTTACCACTGGCATGCATATCGAGATGTACAAGTACCCGAAGTGGTATGTGGGGGTCTGCGTTCGCCTGCATCTCTGTACCCGTTATTGACAGTTTACTAACCAGTTTCCCTTTCACCCTGTACCTTTGTTCCGAGAACACAGTGTAGAGCCTATTTGTAGTATGTCTGAATCTAGAATCTTGCGTCTAGTTTTTTTTTTTTTTTTTTTTTTTTTTTTCCGTGTTTTCTGACACCTCATCTGACGCCTCCGTATTTCCTCCTTCCTTCCGATTGGCTGCCATGCTGCCACGTGGCAGGGGTGACGTGGTGGAGATTGACACGTGGTTCCAGGACGGCACCATCATGTCGCGCCGTGATTGGATCATCCGCTTCGGCCACACGGGGGAGATCATTGGCCGAGGCACCAGGTAACGCTCGGTGTGGCTAGGTGTGGCTCCGCTCAGTGTGGTTCAGTGTGGTCTCGTGGGGCTCGGTGGGGCTCTGTGGGGTTTGGTGTGGCTCGGCGCAGCTTGGTGGGGCTTATTTGGTTCGTGAGCCAGGCGCCTCTCCAAGGCACTCGCTTGTCTCTCTTTCCTTCCTACCTCGCCTGCCTCCCTCTTTTTCCCCCTCCCCCCTGCTACCCCCTCAGTTCATGGGCCATGATGAACTGCCACACCAGGCGCCTCTCCAAAGGGAAACCCTTACACTCAAGCACACGCACCTTCCTCCCTGCCCCTCCCCTGCTCTCCCCTCCCCTGCTGCTGTCATCAGTTCATGGGCCATGATGAATCGCGATACAAGGCGCCTCTCCAAGGTGCCTGCCGACGTGCGCGCCGAGCTCATGGTGCATTGCTCCCCCCGGCATGCCTCTTCCCCTCTACCCTCCCCTCTTCCCGCCTCCTCAGTTCATGGGCCATGATGAACTGCCACACCAGGCGCCTCTCCAAGGCACTCGCTTGTCTCTCTTTCCTTGCTAGCTCGCCTGCCTCCCTCTTTCTCCCCCTCCCCCCTGCTACCTCCTCAGTTCATGGGCCATGATGAACCGCCACACCAGGCGCCTCTCCAAGGGGAAACCCTTCCACTCAAGCACACGCCCCTTCCTCCCTGCCCCTCCCCTGCTCTCCCCGCCCCTGCTGCTATCATCAGTTCATGGGCCATGATGAATCGCGATACAAGGCGCCTCTCCCAAGGTGCCTGCGGACGTGCGCGCCTCAACCCCTTCGCCCCATACCTCCTCCCCCCCCCCCCCAACCTTCTCTTCTCCATACCCTCTCCCCGGGTCTCCACTCATCAGTTCATGGGCCATGATGAATCGCGATACAAGGCGCCTCTCCAAGGTGCCTGCTGACGTGCGCGCATCTAATCTCCCACCATTGCCCCTCCCACCTCCCACTCACCCCCAGCTACACCCTCCTCTCCCCCTCTTCCCCCCTCCTCAGTTCATGGGCCATGATGAACCGGGACACACGGCGTCTCTCCAAGGTCCCTGCTGACGTGCGCGCCGAGCTCACAGTGCACTGCCCCAACCCCGAGAGGTGGGTGGGATTATAACGAGTGAGAATATACTGACATTGAGTGAAACCGTTGAGCTCACAGTGCACTGCCCCAGCCCTGAGAGGTGGGTGGGACTTTAACGAGTGGGAATGTTTTGAGTATATCCGTCGACCTCACAGTGCACTGCCCCATCCCTAAGAGCTGGGACTATGCTGAGTGTGACTGTACCGAGTAGGATTATGAGACCAGATCGAGTGGGAATATGAGATCATATCGAGCGCATCGTGCACTGCTGCTGCAACCCTGGGAGGTGGGACTGTATTGTGAGTGACTACATCGAGTGGGAAGTTGGGATTATATCGAGGTCAGAGGGTGCTGCTCGAACGCTGTATTGAAATCACTTTTGAGAATTTTCTAAAGTTATATCGAGGTCAGAGAATGCTGCTCGAATGCTGTATTGAAATCACTTTTGAGAATTCTCAAAAGTTATATCGAGGTCAGAGGGTGCTGCTCGAATGCTGAGAGGTGGGACCAGTGTCCATATGGGGTGAGCTTCAGACTTCCGTCTCCTCGCCCCCAGGTTCCGTCTTCTCATATTGAGGCCAGGCAGGTTCTTCATCTCAAAGACTGCAGCTGGGCTAGCCTCAATGACTGCTCGTTCACCTCACACATGCTTCCTCTCCCGTCCCGTCCCTCCCCATCCCATGCTCCCCCTCTTGCAGGTTCTCCACTCCGAAGAACAGCGTTGCAAAAACCATCAAACTGGAAGAGCCATCAGAGCGGATCACAGGGGGGTTCAGGCGTCTCACACATGCCCATCCGCCCGTCCTTCCCTGTCCCCTGCTTCCCTTCTCCAGGTTCTCCATTCCAAAGAACAGCGTTGCAAAAATCAACCAACTGGAAGAGCCAGCAGACCACGTTCGACCATTCCTCCGGGTAAGCCCTTCCCCCATATCCCATACCCCATATCCCATACCCCATACCCCATATCCCATACACCATACCCCATGCCCCAATCCAAGCCCCATGCCCAACACCCTATGTCCCATACCCGATGCCCCCTCACGCATGCTTCAACCCCCCGTAGCCCCTAATCCAATCTGCCTTCCCTACTTCGTGTTGTTTCCAAAGCCTTCGTCGCACCAGCCGAGGCGCAGCGATTTGGACATGAACCATCATGTCAACAACGTGACCTACATCGCATGGATGCTCGAGGTGCGTTGCTGGGCTGCTTGGTGTGGGCTGCTGGGCTGCTTGAGATGCGTTGCTAAGAGTGTTGGCAGGACGACGAGGCAATTAAACAATCATAGACCATACTTCACTCTCCAAACGCTCACTCTTCTTCTGAATCGTTGCTTTCTGTTCTTCCTTACACACGTACTCTTTCTTCCCTTTCACCAGTCCCTCTTGGGATCATCAGAGCTGGCTGAAATCACCATAGAATATCGCCGGGAGTGCGGGCGGGGTGATGTGGTATTCAGACCAACATAGACCAATTGTTGCCCACTTGTGCCCTTGCTTCTGCCGTTGCCCTCCCTTTCCCAACAGAGCCTGCCGCAGTCCCTCTTGGGATTGCACGAGCTGGCTGAAATCACCATCGAGTATCGCCAGGAGTGTGGGCAGGACAGGGAGGTACTCTGACCATCATGGACATGCAATATTGAAGCCTATGTTCATCACCCCTCTTCCCCAACAGAGCCTGCCCCAGTCCCTCTTGGGATCATACGAGCTGGCTGAAATTACCATCGAGTATCGCCGGGAGTGTGGGCAGGACAGGGAGGCTCTCTGACCATCATGGACTCATGCAATATTAAAGCCTATGTTCATCACCACTATTCCCCAACAGAGCCTGCCCCAGTCCCTCTTGGGATCTTACGAGCTGGCTGAAATCACCATCGAGTATCGCCGGGAGTGTGGGCAGGACGATGTGGTCGAAACACTCGCCAAGGAGATCGTTTCACCTGAGGTTTCACCTGAATTTTCACCTCGGGAGGGTGTAGCTGAGAAGGTGGTATCTGGTGCAGGTGCCACTGCTGCTGCTGGTAGCACTCGTGGGAGTGTGAATGCTATTGCTGTGCTGGAAGGGGAGAGAGGAAATGTGAGTCTTGTTGCTGCAGCTGGCGACGCTGAAGGGGTGGTGGAAGGTGGTCAGCAGCAGCGAATGCAGCAGTTCTTGCACCTGCTGCGGTCACAGGAGTGCAAGAAGGAAATTAACAAGGGAAGAACGATTTGGAGGAAAAAGAACCAATCAGATCTTTGATTTGAAGGCTTGAGAGAACTCAGCTCATCCTCGTTGTAGGATGCAATGGCAGTAGTTTGTGACAAGAAAACAAAATAAAGGGATGAACAGTTCTGGAACGAGGTTGTAGACTAGATTAAGGAAGCAATGGCTATGTGATACACATACTATCACGATTGTTGCTAAGGTGTATATAATTGAGGAATGTCGCTGGTCATACTGATAAATCAAGCACCGTATTAGCTTGTGACTGCAAATGATTCTCTTACTGTACTTTCATTACCCTTCAATCCAGCCCACATGGTGTATGCACCGGTTTGCCAAGCTGACAAAATATATTGAAATTCGCATTCTCAAGAATCCACATCGCAAGGCCATAAGGATACATGAATTTCGTCCACAACACCAAAGCTACACCCTGAAAAGGAGCAGCCCCAACCCGCAAATTCGCCACTATACACCATGTCAACAACCAATCTCCTTTTGAATTGCCGCATAGAAATGCAATTTCCTGAAAGCTTCTGCAACTGCCTTGCCCTTCACCCCCCCTACTGCACCAGGTCAGCAACGAGGTGTTCCACGCGCCCCTTCCCTTACCCTCCCCTCACCCCCCCTATTGCACCAGGTCAGCAATGAGGTTCTGCTGGCCATTAAGGCGGAGGAGGAGGGAGAGAGGCGTGAAGGAGGAGATGCGAGCGAGCAGTGATGTAGCGAGGGAGGAGGACAGCTGCATCTCCCCTGCCATAGCAAACACGGTATTCGCAGCCGCATTGAGAGCTGCAGCAGCACCGCCAGCAGCATTCGCAGTAACAGTCGCAGCACCAGCAGCTGTCGCAGCCGCAGCACCGCCAGCAGCAGCACGAGCAGCGGTAGCTGCAGTGGCGGCAGCATTGACGTTGCCTGCTGCAGTCACCCAAGCACCAGGCAGGACCACCAGAGGAGTCAGAACCGAAGGCACCGAGCCAACTGCCGAACCTGCAAGGTTAGCTGCCGAGCCTGCTGCCTTCCCTGCTGCACCAACTGCCTTTCCTGTGGCGCTAACCACCGAGCCTGCGGTGTTGCCCACCAAGCCTCCTGCCAAGCCTGCAGCCTTACCAGAAGTGCCAGTGGCCAAACCTGCAGTATTCCCCACCAAGCCTGTTGCCGAGCCTGCAAGGTTCCCTGCCGCACCTGCTGCCCTCCCTGCAGTGCCAACCACCGAGCCCGTGGCCGTGCCGACCAATTCAGCTGCCGAACCAGACGAGTTACCGACCAAACCGACAGCCGAGCCTGCGAGCCTTCCAGCAGAGCCTGCCACCTTCCCTGCAGTACCAGCAGCCGAGCCTGCAACAGTGCTGACCAAGCCTGCTGCCGAATCTGCCACCTTCCCTGCAGTTCCAACCGCCGAGCCAGTAGCATTGCCTGCCAAGCCTGCTGCTGAGCTTGCAAGATTGCCTGCAGATTCTGCTGCCTTCCCTGCAGTGCCGATTGCCGAACCTGTGAGGTTGGTTGCCAAGCCGGCTGCCGAGCCTGCGAGGTTCCCTGCGGATCCTGCCACCTTTCCTGCAGCGCCCACTGTTGAGCCCGCAGCGCTGCCCACCAAGCCTGCTCCCGAACCTGCAATGCTTCCCACCGAACCTGCTGCCTTCCCTGCAGTGCCTACCGCTGACCCAGCAACACTACCCACCAAGCCTGCTGCCGAACCTGCAGCATTCCCTGCCGAGCCTGCGACCTTCCCTGCAGAGCCGGCCACACTCCCCGCTGCCCTCCCCGCACCAAAAACAGCTCCGGTCACATCCGAAATCAACCCAGCTGGAGCCACATTGAGGTTTGGCGAGCCTCCAACGCTGGCTTGGGCGCCTGCCAAGCCTGTGTTGGCACCCGCACCGGCGGCCAAATCAGTCGAGGCAGTGATGGGAGTGGAGGAGATGGGGCCACTGGTGCAGGGGTTGAGAGGGAGGATGGCTGGAGGAGAGGAGGGCTGCAGGGCTATTCCTTGCGCTCTAATCTTGTAGGCTAGGTACACCGACGCGCCCCTGAGGGATTATGCAATGAGGAGAGATGGGAAAATAAAATAGTACTACTATTAAAAATAAAACATACTATTCACAGAGGTGGAAGGGGGGAGGGAGGGAAGGAGGTGCTTGAAAAGAGAGGATACAATCACATAAAATTGACGCTTGTATGGACTTCAACATTAATGTAAGTTTGCACTACCTTCGGAGGATGCTGATATCAGCCGTGCCATCAACGTTGGACCTGACGTCGGCGCTTGTCCCACCACAAGGGGCTAGGGTTCCATGGAGAGAAGCTGGTGAAACAGAAACACAACACCAGGCTCTGGATATTCATCTTCACTTCAGAAAAAAACTCTATTGAATCAAGGAAAAAGGTACGTTTCTTGTGGATCATGCTTGTGAATGTCTTTGCAGTAACGGAGCTCACCCAGAATCCTGGAGCCGATGCTGGGACCGGTGCGAGCAGCGACGGCAGATGGAGGGAGAACGGCTGCTGAAACAATAATCGGACACAAAAAACAAAGGGAGGAAAAGGTGTGATGTCACGGTGTAGCGGAACATTCAGTTGGTAAAGAAAATTTCTGTGTTATGCGTGAAGTCTGCAGAATCAATGAGTACATATAGGAAAATCATTGTGACCTGGCTGTTATGCAGAATGACTAACCTGCAAGTGCGATGGTGAGGAGCAGAGTCACAGCTGCACGAGGGAAGAAACGAGCCATGATGAATGGTTGGAAAATCGTCTGTGGTGAAGCGAAGTAGTGAGTAAAGTGAGTAAAGTGAGTTAAGTGAGTGAAGTGCCTCTTTCACTCCGGCTTGGGAAAATGAGGAGCAGAGCTGTTTGGAATGCTGTGTTGGTTGGCTGTGGTGCCAAATGCTGGAAATGTGTGCATTTATCAGCCCTGCTTTCGGGCCGCGCATTGAACGTTCCGAGTCGCGACGGAATGGAGGCGAAAGAAGGAGGAGCAGAAAAAATAGGGTTGGTCTTGCTGTCGGGCAGGCCACGTGGCGGCGACGTTTGACTAACAGTGCGGTGGGGCAGGCTGCCTGCCGAAACCCGCTGTCCACCGAACAATTTTTGCGTTGAAAGTAATCTACGGTCAGGCTAGCCCAATGCACATCATATATATCCGATATAAGGAATGGCAAGCTTGTGCGGCCGTGTATCGATGAAAAACAATTACATATCTCCAACTTCTTTGGTGAATTTGGAAGAAAATGTGGGCCATGTTCATAGACCTTGCGAAGCCACGCCATGCGGCATTTTGTCGTCATGGCGACTCCGTCAGATTGCTAGTACTATCGTGAGTTGCATCAAGGTTACGTGGTAACCACATGGATACCGCGCTCGGTCACATGATCGCGACGTGGGATCGACTCCGCAACACCTCCCCCATTCTTAGCGCCAGCCGTCCCCCGCTCTAAGCGCCAGTTGCGCCCCTGCTTTCCCCGCTCCTCTGCCTATTCCGCAATCAGCCAATCGCAGAACGGCGCCGTCCGGGACCGAGTGATCGCGGTACCGGATTTCGAGGTGGATTTCGCGCCGGAGGTGAACGGGACGTACGGGAACGCCGAGGACGATGCGGTCGCCATACGCGGTGGATTAATCGACGGCGGGCTCGTGTACAGGGAGCGCTTCGTCAACCTGTGCTTCGAATTCGGCGTTAATCGAAAGGCTTCTATGGAGACTATCGCGAATCTGCTGCAAGTAAACCCTCACTACTAGGAAAATCTACTGAGCGATTCACTTTAGGGCACTTTCCACTCTCAATTCTCACTCTCTACCCTTCGAGTCCCTTCACTCCGCGACCCACCCTCTCCCAGCTTCCACCAGCCCCGGTCTCCCTCTGTTTCCAGCTTCCCAGCTTCCACCAGGTAGCACTCGCTTCTTGGTGTGTCTCGGTGGGGCTTGGTGTATCTCGGTGGGGCTTGGTGTGTCTCGGTGGGGCTTGGTGGGGCTCAGTGTGGCCTGGTGTGGATCGGTTGGGCTAGGTTGGGCGCGTTGGCGTTGGGTAGTCCGGCAATATCACATGACCTGACCCCGCCTTCCACCTTGTCCTTCCATCCCTACTACGACATGCCCTGCCCTGCCCTGCTGTCACCAGCTCATGGGTGAGGATGAATCGAGATACATGGTGCTAGCAGCTCCTCGTCTCTCATCTCCAGTCCCCCTCTCCTTGCCTCCCTTTTCCTTTCCCCCTGTCTGCAGTTCATGGGCTCCAGTTGATGAATTGGGATACCAGACATCTCTCCAAGGTGCCTGCGGACGTGCGCGCCTCAACCCCTTCGCCCCATACCTCCTCCCCCCCCCCCCACCTTCTCTTCCCCATACCCTCTCCCCGGGTCTCCACTCATCAGTTCATGGGCCATGATGAATCACGACACCAAGCGTCTCTCCAAGGTTCCCTTCTGACGTGCGCGCCGAGCTCACAGTGCACTGCCCCAACCCTGAAAGGTGGGTGAGATGTGATTATACCGAGGGCCGAGTAGGAAGATGGGGATCATATCGAGCTCATGGTGCACTGCCCCAACCCTGAGAGGTGGGTGGGACTAAGAGACTATAGCGAGTACGAGTATATCGAGTAGGAAGATGGGACTGTATCGAGCGCATAGTGCACTGCCCGATTGTATCGAGGGGGGAGTGGGGATCATATCAAGCTCATAGTGCACTGCCCCCAATGCTGAGAGGTGGGTGGAGTGGGCCTTTGTCGGGTAGGCCTATATCAAGTCGGCCTGTATCGAGTCGGCCTGTATTGAGTCGGCCTATATCGAGTCGAGCTATATCAAGTGAGGCTGTAGTGAGACATGTGCTTGTATCATAATGGGCTTGTATGAACCCCTACCTCCCCTTTCTCCAGGCTCTCCATCCCAAAGAACAACGTTGCAAAAATCAACAAACTGGAAGAGACCACATGTTGGCTGGCCTAAGTGACTGTTGAGGGGCGTTACTCATGCTTCCTCCCTTCCCTCCCTCCCTGTGCCCTGCTGCTTCTCCTCTCCAGGATCTCCATCCCAAAGAGCAGTGTAGCAAAGATCAGCAAACTGGAAGAGCCAGCAGACCACGTTCGACCATACCTTCGGGTGAGCTCCTTTACGCCACACCCCATGTCCCATGCCCCACTCCAAGCCCCATGCCCCATACCCCATATCCCATACACCATACCCCATATCCCATACACCATACCCCATATCCCATACACCAGACCCCATATCCCATACACCATACCCCATATCCCATACACCATACCCCATATCCCATACACCATACCCCATATCCCATACACCATACCCCATATCCCATACACCATACCCCATATCCCATACACCATACCCCATATCCCATACACCATACTCCCATACACCATACCCCATATCCCATACACCATACCCCATATCCCATACACCATACTCCCATACACCATACCCCATATCCCATACACCATACCCCATATCCCATACACCATACTCCCATACACCATACCCCATATCCCATACACCATACCCCATATCCCATACACCATACTCCCATACACCATACCCCATATCCCATACACCATACCCCATATCCCATACACCATACTCCCATACACCATACCCCATATCCCATACACCATACCCCATATCCCATACACCATACTCCCATACACCATACCCCATATCCCATACACCATACCCCATATCCCATACACCATACTCCCATACACCATACCCCATATCCCATACACCATACCCCATGCCCCACACCCTATGTCCCATACCCGATGCCCCCTCACGCATGCTTCAACCCCCCGTAGCCCCTAATCCAATCTGCCTTCCCTCTTTCGTGTTCTTTTCCTGTCATTTGACCTCCCCACCAGCCGAGGCGCAGCGATTTGGACATGAATCACCATGTCAACAACGTCACGTATATCGCATGGATGCTTGAGGTGTGTTGCTGGGCTGCTTGGGCTTGCGGGGCTGTGTGGGGTGTGCCGCTGGGCTGGGCTGCTTGAGATGCTTGCTAGGAGTGTGGGCGGGACGACGAGGCAATTAAACAACCATAGACCGTACTTCAAACGCTTACTCTTCTTCTGGATCGGTCGGTTTCTTCCTTACACATATGCCTTAACTTCTCTTCACCAACAGAGCCTGCCCCAATCCCTGCTGAAATCACACGAGTTGGCTGAAATCGCCATCGAGTATCGCCGGGAGTGTGGGCAGGACGATGTGGTCGAAACACTCGCCAAGGAGATCGTTTCACCTGATGTTTCACCTGAAGTTTCACCTGGGGAGGTTGTAGCTGAGAATGTGGTCTCTGGTGCAAGTGCCACTGTTTCTGTTGCTGGTAGCAGTGGTAGGAGTGTGAATGGCGCTGCTGTGCTGGAAGGGGAGAGTGGAAATGGGAGTCTTGTTGCTGCTGTTGGTGACGCTGAAGGGGTGGTGGAAGGTGGTCAGCAGCAGCGAATGCAGCAGTTTTTGCACCTGTTACGATCGCAGGAGTGTAAGAAAGAAATCATCAAGGGGAGAACGATTTGGAGGAAAAACGGCAAATCGGATCTTTGAATGCTTGAAAGTGAGCCCTGCTCATCTTCGATATAGGATGGAACAGGAGTAGTTTGTGACGAGGAAACAAAAATAAAGAGTGAAGGTTTTTGAATTGGTTGTCGACTATATAAAGAAATGAAGCAATGGTTCTGTGATGTACTTGCTATCAAGATTGCTGCTAAGGTGTATATAATTGAGGAACGTTCTTGCTCAACCTCTGTATTAGCCTGTAACTTGCGATTGATTCTCGTACTGTACTTGCAATCCCTTTCAACCCAAGCATGAAGTACACTCTGGGTTTCCAAGCTGACAAAATAAGCGACCTTCTCATTCCCAAGAACACACACCATGAAACCATACGAAACAACACCGGCATCTTGTCAAGAAGACCGAAGCTACACCATGAACAGAAACAACTCAAGCTTACCAACAACAATGAGTACACCAAAATTCACCATCTCAACAATCAATCC